CCTGGCCCTCACTATCGCCTCCAAGCGAGCTAACCTCGCTTGCCTTCTCCTCACCGGTAGGTGGATTTTTATTTTGGTTTTTTTTAGACATCTCCATTGAAGTCCCACGAGTATGGGGGAAATAAGAGGTCCGCCCAGGGAGAGCCCCCTGTCCCTGGGTAAGTGTGCATTTGTCTCCCAACTAGGGGGTCCACCGGTCCCCTAGCTGGGGGTGCGCTCACGACTGATCCTACTCCTCAGCCATACATACCCTCGCCGCGCACCAGAACTTAGTATTGGAGGAATTTTTTATAGAGGTTCTCTTCCTCGCGGTCCGGGCGGTTAAGCCAAGACCCTCGTCCCGGTCCGAGTCATAAAACATGACCATGATCTCTTCCCGGATTACGATATCGGCGGGTGCAGTCGGGCGCAGCTAGTGCCCCGATGCTACTCATTGGCAGGGTGAGTGCACAACGAGCGCCGCCCTTGTTTCTCCGCCCCGCTCTCTGCTAGGTCCAGAGAGTCGTGCGGAGGAACGCCCCCACGGAGGCTTAGACCCTATGACAGCATAGAGCCGGTCGCCTCTAGAACCCGACCGGGTTCTCCGCCCGGCCAGAAGTTCGCTGCGGGCGACAGTCAAACCAACCCTGTCGCCATCCCGTTAGGGAGACTGTCGCCCGCACCCAGGGTGCACCACGGGGAGGTCTTCTGGCACGCACCCCACGTCCGAACCGGTGCTAACTATATTCGACCCAGAACTTCCGGTGGAGCTACATACAGATGCTAGCTCAGAAGGATATGGAGCAATCCTTCTGCAAAAGAAAAATAATCTTCCACACGTTGTTGAGTATTATAGCCGGCGTACAGCAGACGCGGAATCTCGTTATCATTCATACGAGTTAGAAACTTTAGCGGTCGTCAGAGCTGTAGAGCATTTTCGCCATTATTTATATGGTAGGCGATTTGTTGTAGTTACCGACTGCAATTCACTCAAGGCGTCGAAATCAAAGAAAGACCTAACACCCCGCGTTTACCGATGGTGGGCTTATTTACAAGCTTACGATTTCGACATTGTGTACCGCGAAGGAAGTAAAATGGAACATGCTGACTACCTGTCCCGAAATCCACTGTCAGATTCTGCCGTTCCCATCACTCCAGTAAAGCCTAAGCCTAAAACTGTCAATTATGTTGAACTACATCAAGGCTGGCTGTCAGTTGAACAGAAACGCGACGCAGAAATTCAGGATCTTATCGCAAAACTTAATAATAATAGCTTTCCCGAAACAGTAGGTCAAACGTATGACGTTAGAGATGGTATACTTTATAGGAAGATTACTCGTAACAAAGCGGTTTCATGGCTACCCGTAGTTCCACGGTCTCTAATTTGGACACTAATTAACCATGTCCACAACGAAATGCAACATTTAGGCAGAGACAAAACTCTAGACAAGCTGTATGAAAAGTATTGGTTTCCCGATATGTCTAAATGTGTACGAAAATTTATAGATTCGTGTATCTGGTATCATTTGTAAGGCATCGAAAGGTCCATCGGGTGCTCAGCCTGTTCAGCTTCATTCGATTCCAAAAGTATCCGTGCCTTGGCACACGATTCACATAGATTTTTCGGGGAAGCTGAGCGGGAAGAGTGACCGAAAAGAGTATTGCTCTGTGATAATCGATGCCTTTACTAAATACGTTTTACTCGAACATACTTTGTCAGTCGATTCCAAGAGTACAATATATGCCGTACAAAAAGCGGTGTGTCTTTTTGGAGCCCCGAAAAAAATCATCGCAGATCAGGGCCGTTGCTACATAAGCTCAGATTTTAAGAGCTTTTGTCAAGAGCATAAAATAGACCTCCATTTCATAGCGACTAGTACGAGTAGAGCAAACGGCCAGGTCGAACGGGTGATGCGTACTCTTAAGAGCCTCCTTACTATCATTGAAAACGACCCTAACAAAGTGTGGCGTGACGAATTAGGTAACATCCAACTTGCTCTCAATAGTTCTAAATCTTCCGTTACCAAATACTCACCGTCAGAACTAATGTTTGGAATTCGTTCCAATTCTTTAGGAATGTGTAAGTTGAACGCCGATAATATAGATCATGAGGTTCGCTTAGATTTAGATTCGATAAGAACTGATGCATCAGCTAACATTTGCAAAGCTGCTGAATCTGATACCCTTCGGTTTAATCGTGGCCGGGCCACAATAAGACCTTTCTCTAAAGGAGACTTTGTATTTATTAAAAATTGTGAACGGAATAAAACGAAATTGGATAGGAAGTTTCGAGGCCCATATGTTATAGTAGAAGTACTCGAAAATGATCGCTATGAACTTAAAAGCTTAGATGGTTCTCAGAGAACTTATAAATACTCTCACGAGAATTTGCGCGCAGTGCCCCAGGGACATATCGGTTTGCTCGAAATAGCTACTAGTCTTTTAAATTGTGAAGAGGCCGAGACGGCGTCGGAAGATGAAGAAAATATAACTAACTCAAATCACGACAATGATAACTCTGACACCTTGACCGTATGCTCAAACACTGTTTCCGCCGATTCGAGGACGCTCACAGCAGGCTCAGACACTCTCAGTACATGCTCAGATCCTGAGACTTGGGAAGTGTCGCACGAAGCTGAAATTCACACAGAACAGGATGATTCATAATCATAGGTAAGTGGAGTGACCTGTAAGAATCTCTTTCCTGCCAAATAGACGAACTATGTCGTCCGAGTCAGTATTAGATTGACTTGTCTCTGTGCATTTGTTCTATGAGACGAAACATGTCGTCCGAGTCAGAACCCTTTAAGTTGGCTGACTTGTTCTGGATGTTTTGCAGATTGGTAAGACGAATATTGTCGTCCAGGTCACATCCACCAAAGGATTGACTCGTGTAATAGTACCAATTGTGAACAGTTAACCTACATGCTGTTTAGTGACGAGGCTGTGTCATCCAGCTTAATTGTTGCGAGACACTCGCCTTAAGTCTTAAGTATCATAGCGCATTGTGATAATTCTAATTAGTCGTCCGTCAGGATGCCGAACGGACTATGTACGACTGCAACTCATTGTTTCAGAGAATCGCCCGAGGACGGTCGAATGTCAGTCCGGCCGTGACGGCGCATCCGTCAACGTTAGAGGTCAGGTTGATTTTTAAGCTGTTAAAAGTCAGCCTAGCGAAGCGTCATTGTCGATGGTTGTGAGGGCGGCCATCTTGAGACGGTTGTTTTTCGAGACGGCGCCCGCTCACCACGCTTACGACGAATCGCTTTGAATTTCATTCGTAATTAAATTTAATGTTTAAGCTAGTATCGCGTTGATTGGACTATAAATTGATCATTAGACTGTGTACTTCAATTATTAAACCCTGTGCTGATTAAATAACTGTGATTATAATAAGGACTTGTGATTTTGCCAACTACCCACATACATCACACAAGATGAGTTCTGATGAAGGCCATCCTCACCCTACATACTGTTACAATTAAAAATAAACAAAATATTACATTTGAATTTGGAATCTGTCATTTTTATATAATTTTTCATTGTGTTTTCTAATTTTGGCGCCAATAAATTGTTCAATATTTTGCGATATTAAAATGGAGTGGGGTGATAAAGAGAACCGAATCGCTGTGATTGCATTACACAAAGTGGGTATGAAGCCAAATGCAATTTTTAAAACTCTTTACACGCTTAGCATTAGTCAAATGTTTGTGTACCGGGTGATTAATAGGTACGATGAGACCTCCTCTGTTTGTGACAGAAAAAGATCTGGCCGTCCACGTAGTGTTCGTACGAAAGAGGTGGTCAAAGCAGTTAGGGAAAGAATTCGAAGAAATCCTGTCCGAAAGCAAAAGATTTTATCTCGGGAGATGAATATAGCACCTAGAACCATGTCGCGTATTTTATAAGACGAATTAGGACTTGCAGCCTATAAGAGACGCACTGAACATTTTTTAAATGATAATTTAAAAAAGAATAGGGTGATAAAATCTAAACAACTACAGTACTGAAGCGGTACGCAAAGGGACGTCACAGAAAAATTTTGTTTACGGATGAGAAATTTTTTACAATTGAGCAACATTTTAACAAACAAAATGACCGTATTTATGCTCAAAGCTCTAAGGAAGCTTCTCAATTAGTCGACAGAGTGACACGTGGGCATTATCCGACTTCAGTGATGGTTTGGTGGGGTGTTAGCTATGAAGGAGTGACTGAGCCATACATTTGTGAAAAAGGTATCAAAACATCGGTACAAGTGTATCAAAATACCACTCTTGATTAGGTAGTTAAGCCCCTTAACAACACCATGTTCAATAACCAACAATGGTCCTTCCAGCAAGACTCGGCGCCGGGTCATAAAGCTCGGTCCACGCAGTCTTGGTTGGAAACGAACGTTTCCGACTTTATCAGAGCTGAAGACTGGCCGTCGTCTAGTCCCGATCTTAATCCGCTGGATTATGATTTATGATCAGTTTTCAGTCTCTTTCAGTCTCTAAACGTCATGATAATTTGGACTCCCTAAAACAATCCATACAATTGGCAGTGAAGAATTTTCCCATGGAAAGAGTGCGTGCTTCTATTGACAACTGGCCTCAACGTTTAAAGGACTGTATTGCAGCCAATGGAGACCACGTTGAATAAGCTTTTTATGTTTTAAATTGTTTTATATTTATGTATTAAACTTACATACTGTAAAAGTAATAAATGTTGTATGTATATCTATATTATGCGATAGTACGGCAAACGAGTAGACAGGTTACCTGATGGTAAGCAATCAGCTCCGCCCATGGACATTTGTAGTACCAAAGGAGTTACTACAAATGCGTTGCCGGCCATTTGTAAGTTATCAGGTATTTGAGCATTTGTGGATCCGGTTGAGCCGGTATATTCCTGCCGAAGCATGGCTCTCCCACAAGATTATACAGATGTCAATTCATATTACAGATGTTAGAAAATAAACCAGCGAGATCAGTTTTATTCATAATGATAGGTGGGCAGTGTATTATTCCGTGCAATCTTTAGCTGGCACCTAAAGCAGGGGCTTGGTCTCTGTAAAATCCTAGTTCCCTCAAGAAGGTCATCACTGGACTACTGTAGTTTCCATAAGCCGCATCGATGTTCTGTGGACAAAAAAATCATATTACAGCAGAGTCTGTATCTTAGTCTTAGCTTTATCTCACAACTAGCTTTTGGCCGTTATTTCGTTCGCGTGGACTAGTGACTTCCTGCAGAATTTTGGTAAAAAAACTATCCTATGTCCTTTCTCAAGTTCCAAATTACCTATGTCTACCAAATTTTACAGAAATCGGTTCAGTAGTTTAGGCGTAAAGAAAAAACAGACCGATAGACAGACAGAGTTACTTTTGATTTTATAATATTAGTCTGGATTTGGATTTGACGGTGATGTTAAAAAATGATGTTGAGCTATGTTTACCTGCACTAGACGGTCGTAATATGGATCCTGATCGTACGGTGTACCACGACGCCTGTGATTAAACTCTTGCACCGCAACTCGTTTGGTTTCTTCGTGGTGGAAAGCCAGAGAAAACTGTAGTATAGTGAAGAATGCAAACACCAGCGCGGGGACTCCTGAAGGCCGCGTGATCTTGTCCATCTTCATTAAATACGTATTGTAGGCGTGTTCTACCGCTCGGTCGTTGTTATATTCGTTAGTTAATTGCAGCTCAGAAAAACGTCTTCTCAGGAGCTGTAAAATTAATATGTTTTATATATGTATAACAAGAATTGAGCGTTGACAACTCTGCTAGCTCAAGGAAAATAGGCGATGTTTTTTATTATAGGACTGCAAACGAGCTAACGCATTGCCTGATAGTAGGCAATCGGCACCGGACACCCGCAACACCATAGGAGTTACGAGTGCGTTGCCAGCCTTTTCAGGATAAGGGTTTCGGATATTAAAGGATTGGGCCTCCGATAACCTCACTCACACGACGAAACATAACGGTGTGGTTGTTTCACGCCACTTTTTTGTTAGGGCGATTTTTTTCTACAATAAAACCAGTTTGTTTACTTACTTCCATAATGGCTGCCTTGTCTTCATCCTCATTGCTTCCTCCATATATCTGTTTATTGACTTCAGTAATAGCTTCGTTGTGCAAGTCCTCCAACGCGCGCGGGTGGAAGCAGCACGTCTGCGGGCCCCACGCTGACATTATATAGTTGTTGTATGCATATTCAGCCATCTGCCTCAACATCCTGTTACTCTTTATTATCCCCTGCTTAAACTCAGTATAACAGTCTTCGATTTCCTGTGTAAAAAATATGTTTTCGTATTAATTCCTAAATTCCAATTTCCCTATGAAGGATTAAGGGTTCTGTCAGTATAGAACGGCAGCAAACATGCTGACAGATTACCTGATAGTAAACAATCGGCGTCTCGGCGGAGACGAGGAGAAGAGGAAAGGGGACAAGAGGAGAAGAGGAGAAAAGGCGAAGAGGAGAAGAGGAGAAGAGGAGAAGAGGAGAAGATGAGAAGAAAGTAAGAGGAGAAGTTGCAATTGCGTTTCCCAAAGGGCCCGCCTTTTGGGGAACGCAATTGCAATTTCTCCGTTTAAGAAATGCGATTTAGGATGCTTTATAAAAAACGAATTTTTAGATCTCGTTTCAATCCTATCCATTTTCGGTAGTAGTTTGCATGGTAATGTATTTCATTAGTTTTTTAATTTTACTTATCAAATAATTCTATTGTTTTAGAACATACAGAAGCGGACATATGTTTTACCACATATCTGAAACCCACAGAACAGAAAACCTAAATATTATTATAGATTATTGAAAAGTTATTCATAGATGCCCCCTCTATGAATAAACTGTATACCTAGGTGTTTTCATTATTCAATAATAAAAACAGACCAATACTGACAACAATTATTGGGTGTCAATAATTGGTAAGTGCCCGTCAAACGGGCCCAAAAAATTGGTGTGAAAATTAAATGCCTACCCCTTATTCGTCCTCATATACCTGTAAAAGTCGCTGCAAGTGAGCGTCGTCTTCTCGCCGAGTGGAGAGGCTCCTCATTGTATAGAAGGAGTTTGTAGCAACTTCGACAGCTTCTTGGTGCTGCTGGGAGAGTCGCGCGGGGCTGACGCCCGACTGGTCCATCTCCAGCTTCATTCGCCTCACGTACACCTCCCGAGCCTCCATCACGCTGCTCTTGTTGTTCTGCTCGTTGATGACACACAAGTGCTCGTAGCGCTGCTCCAACCTCTGCAACAGTCAACTGCATTAGTCATGATCAAATTATTAAATTTTTTCCATGAAAAGATTTATGATTCCACAGAACTTACACAAATCAATTCTAATCTTCTATCGTCTTCTTCACCTTCGGGCACCTCTCTTGCGCCATCGAAGACTGCGAGCGCCTGGCGCAGCGCCTCGGCGTGCAGGTCGGCCATGTCCCGCGGGTGCAGGCACAGGCGCGCGTGCTCCGCAGACACGCGGCTCACTGCCACCTCGTACGCTTTTGTGGCGTTGCCCATCGTGTCGCGAACCTTTATGTCGTTGTTCCACAAGTACAGTGAGAGTAAGGTATCCAATTCCTGTCAATATAAAATACAGGTTTGAATAATGTTGTATCAAACTTTGTTAGTGGTGAGGTGAAACGTGTGTGTGTATATAGGTACATATACCTATTGAATGTAGAAGAGACTCCAAAATATTCTAACGTAAATAAAAATATTTTTTGCTGCCTTTAAACTGAATGACTAATGAAACACCTGAGTTCATGTTACCTTGGTGAGTTCATTATGTTGAGCATCGATGTCAGCTTGTGCAGCCAGTTTCTTCTTCTCTGTAAAGCGCTTTAAGGCTAAGTCCCGCGCGGCCTCGTGCCAGGCAGTGAGCGTGGCGCTGCTGACGCTGACGCCGTCGCGCACGCGCGCCTCCATGTGCTGCGAGTACAGGTCGCGCGCCTCGCGCGTCGCCGAGAGCAGGCACGCGTCCGCCGTCGCCTACAAGTGCACTCACGCTTTACACTCCAAACTACACCACCTACAGTACCGCTATAACGCTTTTCAACAATTCCAAAAACATCTATACAAAATACATTACCTGGTAGATAGTAGTTGCTTCAGGCACATCACTGCTGTTGAAAATATTGACATATTTTTGGAAATACTCGAACAAGTCTTGAGTTGTGACTAGTTCGCCGCTGATGTACTTTGGAGTGAGATATTTTGGGTCGAACAGTGAAGGCACTAACTTCGAAAGTGCTGCTCGAAAGTTTTCAGTCAAGTCTGCAAAATGCGCTTTGTTATTAGGTTACCACCATTGAGATCCTATGTTCATTTATATAATTATAGGCTCTATTGTTCATTTCTTCTAAGAAGTATTTGACAGGCATAAAATAAAAATGAGTGACATTTTCTAACCAGGTAAACAGCCATCAAAGTTTGGATCTTCAACACAGTGCCCTGGATGCGGCATGAGGAAACACTTGATATCTTCGAAACACGAATGCAGATGCTCACGGACCTGCCGCAATTCTGATTTCTGGTTCTGCTTCAGCTGACAAATTGATACAATGTTATTCCAACAAATACTTGCACATACCATCTGGGCCTCGAGTCTGCTATTACAATAGTGTCAGAATCATTGGTCATTGGTTGCAAAATTGTTGATTTTGACAAGTTTTGGTAATCTACTAACACGATAGCATCATTATGACCTCCCAATGCCACTTCATTGAAATAATTCTTTAGAACGGTAATATCGCACATAATGATAAATGAATATTTGACAGAATGCGGTAAATTAATAAAAAATTGTCAGTTCCTTTATTCAATGATTTACGTTTAGAATATTTATGTGCAGTTATTGTTTATAATTCGTTACAAGACATCTCGTACTATAATTATATGTATATTACGACATCGCCGAACGCCAATGATTAGCCATTTTGAATTAACAGATTACGATCTTTTAGCAAAATGACAATGGAATTGTGTAGGAATGACAACACTTTGAAAATAGTAGACTCGGGCCCCTGATGAAATGGATGAGTAGGTACCTGAAGTCTTTTCCGTAGAAACGCAGAGCCGCCAGTGTAACCGTAAGGATATTCGAAGGCATTCGCCCAGTCCCTGACGAGGAATAGAAGCGTTTGAAATGCTTTGTCCTGCGTCTCGCTCACCAGCTTGCCGTACTCCGTGAACAGCTGGTAATAAAATATCATTCATTATACAATTGACACAATACTACCCATACAACACTTGTTTGTTTTGTTTTTATCTGAATTATTCTGTTGAAGTCTATGCTCACAAGCTGATGAGGTGTGATCTATTCTCAAAGTGCAGCCAAGATTTGGTCCGTAAGCAAATTTTTCTCGAGCAAAGAAACCTGTAAATTTTGTAGATCATCCTCCTTGATGTTGCCGGTCAGGTTGTAGATCTGCACGGACGAGATGAGGGTGGACAGCGCGAAGATCGTCGAGTTCTGGCCGATCGTGGTCTCCGAGTCGAAGGTGCCCTGTGTGTCCATCAGCAGCACGGCCACCTAGTAAAGTGATATCAAGCTATAAAAAATATCGTGCGCGACCAGATTGTATAAATGATTTGATTTATTATTGTTTTATAAAGCACGCCTCTTCATTTCTATGTGATTGCATAATGTTTGTTTGGGGGAGAGGTATTGGGTATCCGGTCACCTCACTCACACTGCGAAACATATCGCTGTGGTTGTTTCACGCCGGCTTTCTGGGAGGCCGTGGTATCACTCTAGTTGAGTCAATCCATTCGCGCCGAAGCTTGGCTCTCCCGCACTTATTACCAATTTAATTACCTTTTTGCCGTTCTCTGTTGTCGTGATGATGGGCTCCGACCACAGGTGGATGCCCGTAGTATCTCGCTCACATCCACCTCGCCAGTGAAACCCTCTTAGTGGCTCGTCCTCGCTCCCCAACCAGTTCCCATTCACCTGATTGTCACGCTGGGACATAAAAACATGTAAGTATTTGTGTAATAGAGAATATTCGAAGTTCACCTGATAGAGAAGAAAAAGGTGAGGATTTACTTACAGGTGCCTTGAGGTATCTGAGGAAAAAATTGAGTATGAAGGACTTGCCGCCGCGGTAGGCGCCAGCGACGCTGACCACCACGACGGGCAGGCCCCGCACGTCCTCCCGCAGCAGCACGCGGCGCAGCGCCTCCTCGTCCAGCTCGTAGCGTCCCTCCCCCTTGCCCAGCTTCACCACCTGCACGGTAACACCGCGCTCCATGTTGCTTCAAGGAGTCAACAGCTGTTAAAGGCGAATTCAATACGAAGTTCTTAACCCATTTTTCCACTTATATTAAGACGAATCTTGCACTACGCCCTATCGCGACCGAAAGACAGACGCATCGCCGTCAGTGATGTGGAATTAGGCGATTGCGGAAGAGCCATGGTTTGGGTTAGTTTTGATTGGTTGAGGAAACGGGTCGACGACGTGGCCGCAGCCCCAGTAGGTATAGCAGGGCCTAACAGAAAACCGGCGTGAGAGAACCATAGCGTTGTGGATTATCGTGTGAGCGAGGATACCGGGAGCCCAATCCTCCTTCCTATCTCTCCCCCAAAAAGCTGGCAACGTACTCATAACTCCTCTGGTGTTGCCGGTGCCCATGGGCATCGCCGATTGCTTACCATTGCTCAAATAATCCTTCTAGACGTTTGCCATCCGATCACATAAAAAAGAGTTTCCTAATTATGAGATTTTTACAATTTTGAAGCTCTTCTAACCGAACGTCATGCGACTCAATAATGATATGCGTGAATGACTCACTAACATATATTTATTAATAGAGTATATAATTATATTTAATAATAGAGAACGACGTGTATTGTTATTCTAATAATTATGTATTTATTGTACCTATTAGTTGGTGTTACGAATAGTTTCAGACTCATCTGAATCGACAAAATATGCGACATTTTGTAGGCGGTATAAGTACATTCCGACCGGACCAAAACATTATTATATGTATTTACATATATTATATACATAACATAATGTAGTCCGTCCTATCTTTTAATATCAAATACACACTTAAGATAATTATTAAATACTTAATTACGTAATGCAATAGTTTTGTTTTATTGTTTACATGTCTTTGAAATGTGATTTAAACTGATCCAGTGTTGCAGGTGTACTAGGCAGTACTTATTGGTCTGCTTTCTTCGAAAAGTTATATCAACTTATAAAAAGCCATATAAATACCTAAAATAATCATACAGCCTTTAATTATTTTTAAAAATAATGTTCACATTTTTCGTAATTTAATTGAAATAATTACCTACTCTATTTGAAACAAAAAAATATGACGTACACCTATTTAATACAAAATTTTATTTAAAAAAATCCCGTTTTAAATAGTTAGAAATCAATGGAACAAGTGTCACAAAAACTATAGGTAGGTACCTTCTTTTAACACTAGCAGTAAGGATACTTTTATTTAATTTTATTTTTAATGCTTTACAGAATCGTAAGCAACCGGGGTCGTCCGTGGACACCTGGAAGTGCGAAGCGGGGGGGGGGGTAGGAGATGATTGGAAGATTTGAGATTCCGGTAACTCAAACCTCAGTTTTGCAGTCGGGGCAAGGCATTCGTCCGAAACATGGATCTATCACATTTCAAATAATTAATTATATAATTATTTAACTACCTACTCTCACGCGCTGCTCAGCTCCTGAAGATCATAGCGTGATGTTTTATAGCCTTCCACGATAAATTGACTAAATAAATAAATTGTTCAAGCCGAACCAGTAGTTACGTAGATTAGCGAGCTCAAACAAACAAATTCTTCAGCTTTATAATATTACTAACTATTCTCACGCGGTTTCACCCGGTGCTCGACTCGTAGCGTAATGTTTTATAGCCTATAGCACTCAGGAACATTGTAGCTATCTATCAGTGAAAGAATTTTGGAAATCCGACCTGCGGTTCCAAAGATTACCCCCTACGTACAAACTTACAAATACCTCTTTATAATATTGGTATATATATATATATATATATTAATATATATTTTAATATATATATATATATATATATATATATATATACATGAAGTATAGCAGCATAGATATGAGTAAACAATTAAGACGTTTAAATAATGACCTTCACTTCGACCTTAACCGTGAAGTCAAAATAGGAAAGACATGATTCAGAGGAAAAGATAAATTAGATCAAAAATAGATTTGTTATTAAACATCAAGCGAAGAACAAATAAACATGTTAACGTATTTGTTTATCATTAAATAAACACTTCACTAATAATTTATTCTTGAAGCAAACCATGCAGTCCGACTTCTCAGAAGGCTCATCGATTGAGTTCTAAAACCTATATTACTGTTCTTATCCGGTGTATTATTATGCCATAGAGTTCCTTATGAGACAAAAATTAACTGACGACGACGCGACGTCGGAATACAGGCATCCCTGCCTACCCCATTCGGAGCAAAAAGTCATTAAATTTTGTCATTTATCACAAAACAATCACGATCCGCTCTTTATTCTCTCAACTCTATTGTAGCTTCAAAAAACCGCATCAAAATAGATCCTTCCGTTCGGAAGTTACAATGCCACAGACATACATTCAAAAATAGAAAATTGAATTTAAATAGAATATTTATTTAACAAAAAATTTTTGATTTGTAATCAAATAATGTATTTCATAATTTAATGGACTTACCTTATGAATGGAATATTACCTGCAACAGTAATAATTAATCTCCGACTGAACTATCGAGTGTTCTGTGTAATGCAGTTCCTCACTGCTAACTCAACAACTACGAATGTCTACACGTATGTGTCTGATCAAACCGCTCCAAGATCCAAGAACATGAAAATTCCTATCTACATACAATAAACAATACTGAAGTACCATTATGAAATTCCAATTTTCAACCTTAATTAGTAAGAAATAAAGTTCGATTTGTACTGCTTAACTCTGCCTGGTATAAATAGAATTCATTGATAGCGGGAATTTTGCGATTTGTAATGTTGCCAGAATTTAATAATGAAAACATTTTAGAAGATTTATTAGTAATAAAAGTAAGTTTTTACTCTGTTAAATTAAAATGGTTTTATTTTCTTTATGACATTATTTAAAAATGTAACATAACCTATAAAGTCAAAAATTTATTAAAGTTTGATAGATTCTTTAAGGTAAATTTTCTATAACTCACGTAAACCAACAGAGGAAAGTGAGTGTTACATTGTAATATTCTTTGTAAGTTTTTCTACAGTGCACATACTGCACATATATATCTGTGCTACACCTTATCAAAGAAACAAGGTACCAAGGTATGAGAAAACAAAATTATAAAATAAAAAAAAATAGAAATGTATAAAAATCTTTTTATAAAAAATATTGATGAATCAAACTTTATTATGCATAAGAACAATAAGGTATGCATATAAAATACTACCAAAATTTTACCTACTTTTAATTCATGAGAACACCCCAGAACACCTTTTGAAGTTATCATACGAAACTCAGTATTATGAAACAGATATACCCAAACAAAATGAAAAAAACAATTTAAAATTATAATTCCAGAAATGAAAATAATTTATAAGTACTATTGAAATATATTTTCTTTATTACTACTTACACAACTTTAGTTTTGGTAGAAATCTTATTTAAGTATGGCAACACAGATGTATTTCAGGCGGGGATTACTGTAAACGAGTACCTAATGAGTAAATGAACGACCTGGCGGACGTGCCGGGTCGTGTTTACCAAATCTAAATGCAAATTATTATTATAAATAAATAGGGTTCATTCTTATCTGCTTTTAATGTGGTGGGTTTTTACTATTGCTCTAGTCGGTCGCAATTAGCTCGAAACTGTTTAGTACGAACTGTCTAGTTAGGTATTTTAATAAAACATTGTGGGTAGGTTCTTTGTAGATTTGTAGTAATGTATCTTTGTGCAATGAAGTACCTAGGTATATATAAATATGTATAAAAACACTTGCGTAAATATATTAAGTAATGGGTAAGTACTAATTTATTTCAATTAGACCCCTACAGTCACTTTTGAACGTCGAACAAAATTTTGAAGATATAGTGTCAGTCTGTCGGTCAGTCCTCTTAGTGAAGCTATTTGCTCGTTCCAAAGTGTAGATTCCGATGAAAAGAACGAACAACAAAATCCATGGTTACTCTTTTTAAATCAGTTTCACATATAGATTCCTTTTACAAACAGTTGGTTCAATTACTTATGTGTTACACTAATATTTATCAATACTAATATTATAAAGAGGTAAAATTTGTATGTTTGTAAGTTTGTATGTAGGGGGTAATCTTTGGAACGGCTGGTTGGATAGGTTGGTAGCTACAATATTCCTGAGTGCTATAAAACCCCACGCTATGGTAAAATGGAACCGAGCAGCGGGTGAAACCTCGCGAGGGTAGCTATTTCAGATATAAAAAGAAAGTAAATATTAACCTCAAGGACAATAGACAGTCTGGAGCTGACCAACTGACGGCGCCCGTTCACGAACATGACACGGACACCAGCATCGCCCAACTCAACCATATTATAGGGAATTAAGCGATCCAGCGCCCGTGCCACCGCCAGTGTGACCTTTTAATGAGCATGACAACTCCAAGCTGTTATAAGGATCGACATTCTGCTAGTCTAACCAATTGTAATAGGTTACAGGGCACTCACATTTACAAATTTATCAAGTTATAGTTAAACAATATAATGCAATTTCACTAAAATGTTATTTGTTTCGGTGTAGGTTTGCTATCCTGTGGACCAGCATGTCTCCAAGCATCTAATCATGCAGTGTGTAGTATGCTTTTGTACATAAATTTTTCTGTACACATAATTTAAAATTTCTTTCATTTAATTGTTGTATTTCGCCTGGCATTTTGTTATAACATTTAACACAGAATCCCATGAATGACTTGTATACCTTTGCCAATCTAAATATTGGCCGACATAATCTATCTCTATGTCTAGTTTGATAATTATGTCTATCTGACACCTTATCAAATATTTTTAAGTTTTTCCTAACATACATAATGTTTTCATAAATAAACTGACATGGCACAGTCATAATATTGATCTCTTTAAACTTTTCTCTAAGAGACTCACGACGCTTTAGGTTGTAAATAGCTCTGATGGCACGCTTTTGCAAGACAAAGATAATTAGACTCACACCCAGTTTCTGGAAAACTTGTCAACGCTAAAATTAACTAATCTCCTGTTAAATCTCTTGTCGTCTGATTGGTTGACTGAATCATCAACAACCAATCAGATGACTTGACAAGAGATTAAATTGATTTTAACATTGATCGGCCTTTCGGAAACCGGGTGTCAATGTCAGCAGCCTGTCCCCACAACAAGATGTCATACGCCCATACCTGTGACCAAAACAGGCTGCCTGTCGACAGACCCACTTTTTGTACTTGAGTAATCGAGGAATGCGTAAGTAACAAACCGACTGGCGAGCACGAATGCAGCGACGAGACAAAAAAAAAAATATCCAAAATATAAGTACCTATACCTATATTAATACCAAATTTTTTTTGGTCATCATGGCATCACGCCTGAACTGAGAACTGATTCAGATGCTTGATTCTTTTTATCCTGTTTGCTAAAATTAAAATATAAGAAAAACACCACTACCTACTTCTTTAATGTTGAATATACTGTTATTTAAAATTATTTTGAAATTCAGGAAATAGCACACAACACTTAATTTATATAACGTTTCGAAAAAAGCTCTAGCTTATTTCGTTGACAAATAATACGTTAACTAGTTTGAAATTGTCTATAGTACTAAGTCTATAGTAAGTTAGGTAGGTATAGCACTAAGTTCGCCGCACGTAGGCGCTTTTATTTATAGATTTATTGAATAAACATAACTCATATTGTTAACAACGAGGAAATGTAGAGGAGAAGTTTATTTTCATCTATGTTAGCCCAAAATATAGGTAAAATATTAAATAATAAAATTCCAAGGAAATTCATTTAATTATAAAATGTTTTAATGTATCAAAACTTATAATACTACAGCTTATTTCAAATGTAAAGGCAATGTTTTTCTCAGACAGTTGCTTAAAAATGTAAAAAAATATACTAGGTTAGGTATTCATATTCATATTCATCAAAAATATAAGAACAATTACGAACAACAAACAGACAGCAAATTACAATAAAATGAGAGGTGCTGTTTTCTCAGCGACAGAAGATAAATCGCATTGCGTTTTTCTAAACGCAGCATCTCCATGTTTCCGCCTTCCGCGGTTAGGTTCTATAAAGACCAGTCTCTCGTAAAATAGCAAGAAACGGATGTCTGATGGTTTCGAAAGCCTCGTCAATTCTCTGCGAACAAAGTTATATTTATATAAGTATAATTTGTAAATCCATTTATAGAATAATATTAACTGTTAACACCCACCGAAACAAGTCTGTCGAAATGGGCGTCATCGCTGTAATCAGTACCGCGGCGCCATTTCATAAACTCTCTGATTGCATCATCTTTGGACTCCTGGTGGCGCGCGGGCAGGGACCCGAAGAGCTTGACGATGAAGGGAATCACGAGGATAGAGACAACAGAGGGTCGGCTATATTTATCCATCAGCGTCGTGTACAACCTCAACGCCTGCTCCCCCGCTTGCTTATTGTTAAACTCGTTTACTTCACGCAAGTCAGTCAGACGTATTCCGAGACTCTAAAACAATAATAAACAACATTTTAAATTGATAACTTAAGCTCGAAGCACATTTATTTCATTCGAACTACCGTAAGTTTGGGTTACTTTGGCCCTGCGGGCTAAATTTGATCCAAACAATCGTTAGTTTTTCATTGGTTTAGAGGTTGGGGTCAAAGTTGTTCTGCAGGGCCAAAGTGACCCGAACTTACCCGGTACTTATAAGGCCGCGCACAGAGATCAACCTACACAACTACTTATCTGTATGTAATCTATAATCTATAATAATATTATAAAGAGGTAAAATTTGCAAGTTTGTATGTTTGTAAGTTTGTATGTAGGGGGTAATCTTTGGAACCGCTCTGGTCGGATTGCCAAAATTCTTCCACTGATAGATAGCTACAATGTTCCTGAGTGCTATAGGCTATAAAACATCACGCTACGATTAAATGGAGCCGAGCAGCGAGTGAAACCGCGCGAGAGTAGCTAGTGCATCAATAACACAGAAGTGCCTAGAGTAAATTTTCCTAACGGTAACGCGATTGGACCGTTACCGTATTTAGGCTCTGATTGGTTGGTAACCTTGCAGCAGACGGGCATGCTGTTATTGCAGCGGTAAGACCCCTTTTTGAGGAGTGGCTTGAGAGACGTCACGGCGTCCTCACCTTCCACCTAATGCAGGTGCTTACCGAGCACGGCAGCTTCGGTAGGTTGCTGTTTCGAATCAGGCGGGAAGACACGCCCGAGTATCGTCTTTCAGGAGAACCACCCTGAGGTTGCGGTGGATCATTCGGTGGCGGCGTGCCTTACTTGGGCTGAGCACTGCTGTGTCCTCAGAGAAGTGATTGGTGGCGGCGACCTCTCGCGCCCGGTCTAAGTCAAGGCTATGGTGCGAAGTGAGAGGAACTGGGAAGCCGTCTCCTCTTTCTGAGAAGCAGTTATGCTCGCAAAGAAGGAGGCGGACCGCGTGAGGGAGCTCTCTTCTTCCTCACGCTCCAGGCGCTGCAGTAGACGACACTCCGGGCGTCGGAGATCAATAGATGATCTTCGGCCACCGTAAGAACGGATATGCGGACGGCGAGCAAGGGTTGTCCGCGCGAGCCTCAAAAAGCCAATAGACCACCACAGACGGGGCCCCATAGCGCAATGTGGCAACGCGGCCTCGGCCCAAAACAGGAGAAGAAACGGGGGGGTGGGGGGGGGGTTTAGTCAGTACGAGTTTGAAACTCCCTCCCGCCCGACCCAACTTCGAGGCAGCTTCGGTATTAACCTAAAATCTACGTGATTGCTTCTGTCGATTTAATTGTCATATAACATGAATATTTTTAATCAATTTTGCAAAAATGAATCAGAGCTAGTTGTGGACAGCTCGAAGCAGTCCGGAAGTCACTAGCGGGGTCTATATTCAACAGTGGACGTCTTCTAGTTAGTATGACGATGGTAATGATGAAGTGGAACCCGTGAAACAATCCTAGGAGGACAGAATTTCAAGACTGACCTTGATTAACGCTGCCTTGTACTCATCATTTTCGTTATCCGCTCTGTTGGAGAGGAATTGCTCGAGAGCCATCTGCTTGCCTTTGTTATGGAGATCTTCAAGAGCTTTCGGATGGAAGCAGCACATCTGTGGGCCCCACTCTGACATGATGTAGTTGTTATACACATTCTCAGCTGCATGTAGGGCCATCTTATTTCTGTTTATATTCGCCTTTTCAAAGTCCACAAAATAATCACGAATGTCCTAGAAATTTTTAAAATTGATTATAAGTGAAAAAAATAATTGAAATGCCCAATCAATATCAGACAAAATTTCGTACTTTTAACAATAGTTCCACATGCGGGTCATCTTCTCGCCGAGTGGAAAGGCTCCTCGTTGCATAGAAGGAATTTGTAGCAACTTCGACAGCTTTTTGGTGCTGCTTGGAAAGTCGCGCGGAGCTGACGCCCGACTGGTCCATCTCCAGCTTCATTTGCCTCACGTACACCTCCCGAGCCTCCATCACGCTGCTCTTGTTGTTCTGCTCGTTGATGACACACAAGTGCTCGTAGCGCTGCTCCAACCTCTGCAACAGTCAACTACATTAGTCATGATCAAATTATTATATTTTTTCCATGGAAAGATTTATGATTCCAAAAAACTTACACAAATCAATTCTAATCTTCTATCGTCTTCTTCACCTTCGGGCACCTCTCTTGCGCCATCGAAGACTGCGAGCGCCTGGCGCAGCGCCTCGGCGTGCAGGTCGGCCATGTCCCGCGGATGCAGGCACAGACGCGCGTGCTCTGCAGACACGCGGCTCACCGCCTCCTCGTACGCTTTTGTGGCGTTGCCCATCGTGTCGCGAACCTTTATATCGTTGTTCCACAAATACTGGGACAGTCTCGCATTCAGCTCCTGACAATAGTTATCTTAAATATTAACAATTTGTACTCTAATATTGCAGTGTTCAGTTCATGTACATACTTAGATTACTGAGCTGCATGTTGATTGTTTTATCATTAATCATCAACCTGTACCTTTTTGAGAGCTTCGAAATGAGCATCGACGTCGGCTTGTGCGGCTAGTTTCTTCTTCCCTACGTAGCGTCGCAGTGCGAGGTCCCGCGCGGCCTCGTGCCAGGCAGTGAGCGTGGCGCTGCTGACGCTGACGCCGTCGCGCACGCGCGCCTCCATATGCTGCGAGTACAGGTCGCGCGCCTCGCGCGTCGCTGCCAGCAGGCACGCGTCCGCCGTCGCCTGCAAGGGCCAGATAAAGCGAGACACTTTTAAGAAAAAACTAACTAAATTTACCTCTTTAATTCTACAGGCTCTATCTATTTAATCAATGCAGCAGTTATTCCTCGCTACGAGTCCAAACTCGTCATTCACGTAAGCATTACCATATATTATCTTACCTTGAATATAGTAACAGCTTCGGGAACTTCGTCACTGTTAAAGATACCAACGTATGTCTTGAAGTACTCAAACAAATCTTGGGTAGTGACTCGTTCACCGCTAATTAGCTTTGGTGTGAGGTATTTCGGGTCGAAAAGGGATGGCACTAACTCTATCAGAGCTAGTCTAAACTGTTCCCTCAAATCTGTAATTAAGAATTTAATTAATTTTTAGGGAACAGAGAATAAACTTCCATAAAATAAACAGTTGTTTTTTCACTCGTTAGCATAGGGAAAGATCGGTGTAATAGAAATTATATCACTTTTACATGCAACTTACCACGAAGGCATCCTGCAAACTTGATGTCTTCGACGCTGTGGCCGGGATGCGGCATAAGGAAACACTTGATATTGTCGAAACACGAGCGAATGTGTTCCCGAACCTGCCGCAACTCTGCTCTCTGGTTTACCTTCGGCTGGATATCAAATTATGGTGTGGAAGTAATGATGCTTAATAGTATCGTGGTTTAAAAAAAAGTATTTCGTTAACCTAAAATGTTGGCGACACCTCAGATAGAATATTACCTGTAGCCTCTTACTGAGTAGCGTAGATCCACCATGGAAACCATAAGGGTGCTCGAAGGCGTGCGGCCAATCCCTGACGAGGAACAGTAGAGTCTGGAACGCCTTGGATTGAGTGTCACACGCGAGCTTGCCGTACTCCGTGAACAACTGGTGGACGAGAAACACGATAATGATAAAACCGCAGTGTCAGGCCGGCGAAAATTTTTAACAAAGGTATCAATAGCTAGTAGATATCTTTTGTGGATCACAAGACAAGTAACCTGTAAGTGCTGTAGATCATCCTCCTTGATGTTGCCGGTCAGGTTGTAGATCTGCACGGACGAGATGAGGGTGGACAGCGCGAAGATCGTCGAGTTCTGGCCGATCGTGGTCTCCGAGTCGAAGGTGCCCTGTGTGTCCATCAGCAGCACGGCCACCTGCAATAACCATATCTTCACACACAGCTCATCAATCAGAAGACTATGACCGCTTAACAAAACACAGGGAATAAAGTACTATATTCTATGTACACGGAATATTACAAGACAGAAAATAAAATACAACATAGTACATTATCAGCGATGGCGTAAAAGTCAACCAAAATTAATTCGAATAAGATTCTCTTATTATCTTTAGGGCTAACAATAATATTCAGACAGTACACTGCTACTAATGTGTCCAATATTTTTAACTCACTTGTTCACCAGTTGCTTCCAGTGTAGTGATGATAGGTTCCGGCCAGAGATGGATGCCGGTGGTGTTTCGCTCGCTGCCCCCTCGCCAGTGAAACCCACGCAGAGGCTCATCCTCATTACCAAGCCACGCCCCAGACTGCTGATTGTAGCGCTATTGAAAAATTAAATTAACAATATACAAAATGTTTTTGCTGCCAAAAAAGCCTTTAAAATGACAAAGTCAATTTTGTTAACTATCTTGGTGTGAAGTGAGTTGAGGTTCACACAAATTGTGGTTGTAATGTCAAGAATCACTTACGTTCGCGTTGAGGTATCGGAGGAAGAAGTCGAGTATGAAGGACTTGCCGCCGCGGTAGGCGCCGGCGACGCTGACCACCACGACGGGCAGGCCGCGCACGTCCTCCCGCAGCAGCACGCGGCGCAGCGCCTCCTCGTCCAGCTCGTAGCGCCGCTCCCCCTCGCCCAGCTTGACCACCGGCACGCCTTCTCTTATCCCTCCCTTATTCATTCCACCGCTCATCCTCCTGTCAAAGACATTTCTGTCATAAGTTACACACTCTGAGCGATGATCTCCGGCTTCGGTAGGCGCGGGTCAGCGCGGTCGGCGAGCAAGGGTAGTTCGCACGACGAGATCGAGACGCGCTTGGAATACTACAGCGTGTAGCATCCAGAGTGCGCCTCAAAGAGCTATAAGTACACAAATGTTGGAGCCCAACAGAGCCGATGTTCAGCCGGGGTTTGGAGGGCCTGCTGGGAGCAGTAAAAGGAATGAGAGAGTTTTTAGTCAGGAAGAGTCTGACACTCCCTCTCGCCTCACATTGGACGAAACAAGCAATTTGATTATTATCAACTTACAAAAAAAATTACTCTTTAGACTAGGTACGTTCATACCTAAACCACAGTATAAATATCATATTATTACCTTGCCTAAACATAAAACGTACGACTTTGTAAATTTCCTCAAATAGGTATTGTTAAGTGTAATAATTATCACTTACATTGATGCGAAGTAGGTAGGTATGTATGTAAGCTTGAAAACTGAGATTATGACTGAGAAAGTACGAGTGGACACTTGTCGTGTACCTACGTCCGTTTATCGAAGTAGCGCTCCGATGACGCGCGTTATTCCAAGTAGATATCGGTTGAAGTTTTCAGTCATAATTGTCAATATAATTTATTCTATTTATTGAAAATATAAATGAAAAGGTTGTTTGTTTATTAATGTAATTGAATGAGGAAAATTTCAATAATTAATTACACATTATTAAATAAAATAATTAATATTTATCTAGGTACTGGGAGTAAGACTGTGGCGTACATATATGTATGTATTATTCACTTGAATGATTAGCTCTTATTTGTTATTATTTAATTCAAAAGAGAAGAAGTCATGCTGAGAAGGAATTATTAGGTTAACATCCCTAAATAAAAAATCTCACAATTTACCTACACGTTTTAACCAACTCCTTACTAGTTTAACAAACGTGTCGAACAGACAGGAACGCTGAAAATGTGCACATATAATTAATTTTTTATGCAATTAACTAAAAATGATCTCTTGCATTTTTATAGCGCCTCTAAATATTGATACATATGTATATTAAAATACTTCAGGTATACTACATTTTAATTTTAATAAGTGTCAGTGAAACTGCCTAGAACATCGACTATCCAGTGTGGGAGAGCCATATTTGACAAAGATGGGTAGGCTCGATCGAAGTGATACCACAGCCTCACAGAAAACCAGCGTGCCACAACCACAACATAGCGTTTCGCCGTATGAGTGAGGTTACCAGAGGCCCAATCTTTTCTCTTCTCCAATTGGAGATTTAGTGATTGGGGAGGGTGTCAATCAATAAACTCCAAAAGGCCGGCTACATTCCGGTATTGCGATCGGTCAAAATTTTCAGCTCGCTTGTCATATATAAAAAAAATGAAATACTGGTTTGCCTGCCACCTCTGAGTTGGCTGGTTCGCAGCAGGAAATGGGACGGTGTATTTTTAATCAGTAAGAATAAATATTGTTTAATTAACTTTTACAACTTCACGGTTGGCGCGGTGGCCGAGCAACTGGCTGCCGCGCAACGTGTCGCGGGTTCGACTCCCGCACGGAACAACTCTTTGTGTGATCCACAGATTGTTGTTCCGGGTCTGGGTGTGTTGTGCATGTGAAATTGTATGTTTGTAAAGGCACCCACGACGCAGGAGAAAAACCCAATGTGGGGCAACGTTTTTTTAAAAAAAGAAAAGAAAAAGAAAGAAAGAAATTAAACCCTGCTCGCCCGGCGAGAGGGAGTGTCAGAGTCAGAACGCCATTTGATGATTTTTTCCACCTAAAAAAACAATAATTTTTTCCCAATAACCTTGTAAAGAGTTGGCCCTACTCAGAAAGGGGTAGTATGTATCGACATTACTTTTGAAATGTGTAACTCTGTATACCTTTTCTGAGTATAATATCCCGCCAAATAAATAATATTACGGTACTCAGACTGATAACGTCAAATAGCATAAGAAAAGGAAAACTTAAACATTTAATTATTATTATCTTAAAAAATCGAAATATTCTTCTTCAGAAGCCGGATTAAATTCCAAGTAAAGACAGATATATTGAAATGTAACACTGATTAAGTATAAGAATAGATAAACAATTTACCTCGTATTTTATCTATATAGAAGTACACAACACACGCATAATATGTATATGTATGATAAAACACTGATATCGTGTAGATAAGTAATCAGTTGCATTATATTGATTATTTAGATAACTTCTCAACTATTGTAATCTAAATTAATTATTACTTCCCATTATAATATAATAACAAATAACTTCGCTCACTTCAGCGAATGAGTCACGCGAGGTTGCCCGGTTGGGTACGCTACGCCACGTTAGCTAAAACCTAGCAAGAACAGTAACTATTTCATAAACATTTTTTTTTTTTTATGTAATAGGTCGGCAAACGAGCAGACGGATTACCTGATGGTAAGCAATCAGCGCCGCCCATGGACACTCGCAACGGTGGAGTTACGAGTGCGTTGCCGACCTTTCAGGGATTAGGGATTTGGAGATATAGGGATTGAGGAGGGATTGGGGAAGGGGAAGGATTGGGCCTCCGGTAACCTCACTCACACGACGAAACACAACGCAGTGGTTATTTCACGCCGGTTTTCTGTGAGGCCGTGGTATCACTGCGGTCGAGCCCGTCCATAGGTTCTGAAGCATGGCTCTCCCGCACGTAAATCTACATATAATCTCTCAAGAAATTAAAGCAGTGATTGATCATAAATTATTAATGAATGGTGTAGGAACTAAAGGATTTAGAGAACGTAAAAACAAAAAAAAAAGATTAAGAGAACTCACCTCAATTATTTTAGGATATACTGTAGCTGTGTGCTAAGTTATGGTTCACTTCACTATAAAGTTTATCACAAAGCACAGAGTACGAACGTCCGTCTACCACAGGATCTTCCCTTACTTTGATATATCTGATACAATCAATTTTACTTTTGTTAGTATACAATCCAACCAGCATATTAAATCTTTTCACAACAATAGTGTCAATTAAATTTTAACTCTAACACCTAAAACATTAAGTTCATAATACGATATTCACTTTTGACTCAGATAACATTTTGCCATGCGAATTACTTGAATTAAAAATAGAACTGCGGATGATAACCGCACTCAAAATTTATATTGTTGCCAGCTTACGTACATTTCTACTGTTTCGGTAGGTATTACATTCAAATATCTTAACTATAAACCAATCAACTAATCATACCTAGTATAATTAATATCACCGCGATATCAATAGTTGAGTGCATCGTTGATTGGCTGGTCATCTGACCGCGAACGCCTCAACTAAACTGGGATTTTTACACTCTTTTGAAAATCGTATCTTCGAGATTTGTAAATATGTATATTTTATGTACACACTACCTGTGAGGTAAAGGAATCTGTCATTTTTGTATAAAAAACGTTTAGTAATGTATTACTTCTAGAAAAAATATTGAAAATACAGTACGTCTTTGACTCAAAAAATATCATTTAAAATACCCATTAAAATAAAATTTAAAAAACTTTTTTTTAACCAAATATTGGTAGAAATTTAAATAATAATATGACAACACTGGTATGTAATCGGGGCTCTCCCTTGTCAGATGGGACTAAAGACTAAGCAAATAAACTAACTGTTAATGTTAATAGTTTTTACCTACTCACTCTTGAATTGAATGATAAGCCTTATCGTAAATAATATAAGTACTTATGTGGTAATCAATTCATTCGCTATACTTACACTGCAAAAATAATCGTAATAAGTATTAATGTTTATTTACAGGCACTTTAAACATAAATTCCTATCTAATAAATAAAGTTTTCAATAAAATCTTCTGATTAAATGTTGACTGAATATTTGAATAGATTTATTTACGTAATTTATACACAAGGTGGTAAAAGACAATAGGGTCACCATTTCCAGACACCAGATTCACTTTAGAGTCCTAAACCTTAAGAATTTTTACGCTTTGCTTCGTAATCGCATTGTAGACATTAAACAATAAGGCAAGAAAATACTTTTATTTAAAATACAAAACGAAGAAACAAGTCGTTTTCTTAATCTTGCTATTGTACCTACGCACTAGAGCTTCGCCGCATCTTCGAATATGTTTATATACTCGTGCATACTCTATGACCATCTGACCATGACGTCACCTCGCTACGCGGCTACGTAAAGCCCCGACAAACATACGATAACAACACTCAATTTACCTGTGTTGCCACACACAATCATTTATTTCCTACTTTTTAAAAACAATGTTTAATTATCGATATATATAATATAATAATATGAAACAAGTTGTTATTTTGTAAACAGTTCTACATTTTGACCAAGTATCAATGCACAAAGAGGAGTGTGAATTTTTATTCGGTTTCTGGGGAACTCAAATCATAACTGATACAACGTTTACTATTCATTTATCTGTAAATAAATAAGAGCCAAAATGATAATTTTATTTTCCCCACCACTACCATAACAGTGGCTAACTGTTTTATTATTTACCTTCGTTGTTACTATTTTCATTACAATTTGGTACGTTTTAATTTTTTGTATTGGTAACTATGAAAAATGTTTTAAAGCACTTATCTATTTATAACACAGGGTTTCCCGATATTTAGCGGAAAAGCATTTAATTATAGTACCTATCTGGTAAGCCTAAGGTTCAAATTAGGTGCACTAAAGCGACGATAGACGATTTATAAATTCAAGAGATGTTATTAAGTAGTTTCAGATACGAGAGAAGTTTGCGGAGGAGCAGTCGACTGTCAGCTCATTATTCATTATAATACAAAAAAGTGTGGAATTAAATATTTTAATTTAAATAAAAGAGATGGTGGACTACGCAAGAAATGGTGAGTACCTGTAGTCTTACGTGCATGTGTTCGCTGGTTTACGAATTGCGCCCACTACTTTACTATTTATCATTTTACATTTTCTCTTTAGTGGTTTTTGCTATAAGTTATAGGTACAGACTTATTTATCAATATTAACATGGTTTAATAACAGACAGCCCCATTTACAAGATACAAGTTTAGTGAAGCCTGTTGCATTAAAAAGTTGTCTGCAGTTGTTATAAACAATACGTACATACCACGTATGAGCATTTACTGGCGAAATATTTATAGTTAAGCGATCGCAACTGTCGAAGTTTTGAATGAACCTAGAACCTATACCACAGAATTACATTTCCTACCACTAAGCTGCTGCTAGGTTGTTTATGTTTTTTTTTTGTTATTGAATCAATCAAATTGCCAATTGGCAATTTTCTACGAGTTTTGTACGAGGCTCTTTGTTGTGACGTCACATGTTTTTTTTCGCCATGTCTGTCAGTGGCCGCTGGCCACGCCGCTGGCACTAGAAAGCTAAAATTTGGAACCAACAGTTATGTATAAATCACGCCGCTAAAGTGCTATGATAAAAAGTGGAAAAAATATTTTATTAGGGTACCCATCTCGCGTTCTTGGATGCTTTCTTGAGAGCGCAAAGTCGCGGTCCGAGTTCTTTGCGAACTTAAACGTGACTCTCAGAATCACGTGAAAGACCTACGTGCTCCCGGTTAGCAGATTATCATACTTCACGATCTCCTTCAGATTCCTGAGACCCACTAAGTCTCATTGCGTTGCGTCTTATTTTTGTATGTACATTTTGTCTGGATTGAATTCGTAGATTTAAAGTGATGCACAAACAAATATACTAAAATACCTACTTTTTTTTTCTTCAATCTACAAAATTGACTTTTATTATTTCTGAACGTATTGTCTATGAAATAAAAAGAAATATTAGGTAAAATCGGTTTACTCAATCCAAAATTAACACCAAAAACTTAACATACATCACCCGTCTAGTTTGAAAAAAATTGTAACACAATTCCCTTAGAGATGGCGTTGTAGTTTTGCTATTTACGCTGAATTGCGGTTTTAAGATTTATATTAACTCTTGTGGAGATACTTATTGTGACAGAAGGGAAACTACGGAACCCTATACTGATACTGAGCTTAGCCCGATACACTTTAAGAAGTTTTTTTTTATATAAAATAGCATACCTGGCTAGAAAATTTATTAATAAAAAAGATAAAAATAGATTATTTTTGAGGATTATATGGTATCAAAAAATAATAATCTTATAGGTACTGAGGAATGTACCCGACTGTACCCGTTGTGCGTTTTGCTGTTGGTGTATGGTACCTATCACAGAACAGAAAATTAAGTATTTTCTATTCCGTGGTACCTATAGACTCGCAACAGACCAGGTACATAAGTGTTGACTGTATAAATAATGTCTTCAAAAGATTAGATAAAATAACGCTCTTAAGCAATGGCTTAGGTCTACCGTGATAGGAAACATAACACTCCTAGGTATACTTTGTTCGACTACGGAAATAGGTATCGACGTGATTTAAGTAGGCACTCATTTACACATCTATTCGGTAAGCCTTAAGTGGTTATTTAAGTATTTTCACAAGGTATTTGACCAAGAAGGACCTGTGAATGTAATATAAAAAATTACAAAGATCCCTAATTTCTGGTAGTCGTAAATCCAGCTAGAGCGTATTTTTGACAGAGACCAGGTATCCGAGCTCTCAGCAAATAAACTTGACACTTTATAGGGCAATCTGCATCCTACCCTAACCTACTTCACCCGCCTGCCAAACATGATCAGGGCAAACCATCTTATTGAGAGTACGCCCCTAACCCAGAAGTAGAATGACACAGGATATCGATGATGATGATGATAGTCCCTTCAGATTACAATCCAAATACATTTAATTGTTATCGCACGGGTGTGTAGGTACTTTATATCTTTAAGGGCGTCTGATATGGTGTAACTTAAAATTTTAAGAGAATTCCATAATATTTGTTTAATCTGGGTATGCCAGGGCACTTGGGCGACATGGAGTGTGGCGAGGGTGTGCAGGTGGTGAAGCTAGGCGAGGGGGAGCGGCGCTACGAGCTGGACGAGGAGGCGCTGCGCCGCGTGCTGCTGCGGGAGGACGTGCGCGGCCTGCCCGTCGTGGTGGTCAGCGTCGCCGGCGCCTACCGCGGCGGCAAGTCCTTCATACTCGACTTCTTCCTCCGATACCTCAACGCGCCTGTTAGTAAATCCTCAAATATTAATTCTCTTTCTTCGGGTAATTTTCATATTTCGTCTAAATACATGTTCTTATGGCCTAGCGCTCGAGTCAGGTGAATGGCGAGTGGTTGGGAAGCGAGGACGAGCCACTGAAAGGGTTTCACTGGCGAGGTGGCGGTGATCGGGACACCACTGGCATTAACTTGTGGTCAAAACCTATTATTAGCACCCTGCCCAACGGTGAGAAGGTGGGTAACGAACTCAAGTAATAAGTTACCTTATTCCGTTACGAATACAATTGACATAATATTTTTGTTTACTTTACTGATCGAATGAAAATTCCAGTTCGGTTCTTTTGAGATAGACCGATTTTTGTTGCTTGTTATTTATAGCATTTTTGTATACCTTTAAAGTTAATTGGGGTTATTATAGGTGAGTAACTATTAGACAAAAGCATTAAAACTGATGTTTATCTGTCCCAAAAGTTATGGATCGAGTAAGCAACAAGTAAAATCAAGACCATGAATAACGTTTTTCTTTCCTTAGTAGATTTGTGCTTATGAAAAAACAAAAGCTATTTCAGGTTTTCTCTAAACTTAAAATAATATATAGATGTCTGTTTCTACCACGTCATGCACGGTTCCTGCTATTTATAGAAACCAAATTAGTTTCTGCACACTGCGGAATATGTCGGGGCAGATTGTTATCCACCATATATTACGTTTTATAGGTACATAGTTGCTTACTCGTACCTAACGTTTTATGTAAATTGTACTTATATTCTCGCAAACACGATATTTTGAAGGTCCTGGACCTAAACCATCACTATTTGGTCCACCAGGTGGCCGTGGTGCTAATGGACACACAGGGCACCTTCGACTCGGAGACCACGATCGGCCAGAACTCGACGATCTTCGCGCTGTCCACCCTCATCTCGTCCGTGCAGATCTACAACCTGTCCGGCAACATCAAGGAGGATGATCTACAGCACTTACAGGTTACTTGCCTAGTGATTCAGGCCAGGTGGGCGTTGCGGTTTTATCACTTGTAAATATGGTGTTTCTTTTGTTTACCAGCTGTTCACGGAGTACGGCAAGCTCGCGTGCGCCATCGATACTGAATCCAAGCCGTTCCAGACTCTACTGTTCCTCGTCAGGGATTGGCCGAACGCCTTCGAGCACCCTTATGGTTTCCATGGTGGATCTACGCTACTCAACAAAAGGTTACAGGTAAAATCAATACTTTGGATAAACTTTACCTCTTGACTTTTATTATAGGTACATACATATATGAATTATTTTTGGAGTATGTTTTTTTTGTGACAGAATGGCAAACCTGCTGACGGACTTCCTGATGCTAAGCAATCAGCGCCGCCTATGGACACCCGCAACAACAACGAAAGAGTTTGGGATTGGGGATGGGCAGGCTTCTGGAAACCTCATCACACACGGCGAAACACAACGCTGTAGTTGTTTCACAGCAGTTTTCTCTGGGGCCGTAGTCTCTGGATCTGTGGTCGAGCCGACCCATTCGTGCTAAAGAATAAATCTCCCACACTAACAACTAAATTGTAAATAAATAATATAGAACCTTTGATATAGCTCAGGCTGCATGAAACTATCAAATAATGGATAATGAAATGTTGCTATTAACAGAAAGGGTGTTTCAATATACAAACCATCTCATACGTATGGTATTAAGATAATAGCCCTCATATTATGTAATAAAACAACTAATACAATAATGTATTTATAACATACCTGTTAAATAATTGAGAAATTTGGTGAACTGTAGATACCCTCTGTCTGTAACTGCTTATTTGTCTAGAACTACCAGATTGTTAATGAGATGTTGTGTTTTATGTGAATTCCCAGACAAACACGAAGCAAAAGACAGAGTTACGGGAAGTCCGAGAGCATATAAGGTCGTGTTTCGATAAGGTGATTTGTTGCCTGATGCCTCACCCGGGCCTAACTGTAAACAACCAGTTCTTCGCCGGTTGTCTGCGCGGTTAGTATAACACATATCTTTTACGATATAACATATCCACTGATAGTCTGAGGAACTGTCGATCCTAGCTTACGGGAGCTAGATCTCTAATGGACTTTTCCAATAAGAAAGTTTGCACTAAATATCTACAACAATTGTGATAAAAATAATTACAAATCCAATTTTTCAGACTTAACACCAGACTTCCGAAGAACCCTCTTGGAGCTGGTGCCTTCTTTGTTCGAACCAACACGGCTCATTCCAAAGATGGTGTCAGGCCAGGTTATTCAATGTCAAGATTTATTCGATTACTTTCAAAAGTACTTGAATATCTTTAACAGCGATGATTTACCAGAAGCAGTCACAATTTTAAAGGTTAGTGTATATACGTTGTATAAATGTTGTACTTCTCTGAAGGCCATCGCTATTGAGCCGGCATTCCGAAAATATCGACGCCCTACAAGCAATAAGCAGTACTTGCGACAATGGAGACTAGTAGATTGGCTCAGGCTTTCGAGTGTATCTTTCTCCTCACGGCCAAAAGGGGTACGGTATAGTGCTGTAGTGAAGTAGCACGGAGTGTAAAGCGTGAGTGCACTTGCAGGCGACGGCGGACGCGTGCCTGCTGGCGGCGACGCGCGAGGCGCGCGACCTGTACTCGCAGCACATGGAGGCGCGCGTGCGCGACGGCGTCAGCGTCAGCAGCGCCACGCTCACTGCCTGGCACGAGGCCGCGCGGGACCTTGCCCTAAAGCGCTTTACAGAGAAGAAGAAACTGGCTGCACAAGCTGACGTCGATGCTCACCTGGACGCTCTTAAAATGGTACACATAAAAAACCTACAAAGACTTATCAGCAAGATTTTCCCGAATGGTCTAAGGAACTTTAAAATTTTCAGGAATTAGTCGCTTGTCAGTCTCAACACAATCGGGACAATGAGTTTAAGGTTCAAGATACGATGTCCCTCGCTAAGATTGCTTACGAGGCAGCAGTGAGCCGCGTGTGTGCGGTGCACGCGCGCCTGTGCCTGCACCCGCGGGACATGGACGACCTGCACGCCGAGGGGCTGCGCCAAGCGCTCGAAATCTTCGATGCCGCCAGAGACGTGCCCCAAGGCGAAGAAGATATCAAAAAGACTAATCTGCTTGAAGTGAGTTTCTAATATTATTCTTAACATGCGGTTTAATAAGAGCAACAGAAACTTGTTGCAATTTAGTGAAAAATTTACAACAATTCAAAATACAATCATGTTGCTACTAACAGTACTTACGTTATATTTTCAGAATTTAGAGCAGCTTCATGAGAATTTGTCGTTGATCAATAATCGGAATAACTTGAACGCTGTGTGGGAGGGGCGGGACGTGTACGTTCGACGAATGAAGCTGGACATGGACCATACAGGCGTCAGCTCCGAGCGACTCAACTCTCAGCATCAAGACGCATTGAAAAAGGCTAAAACTGCCTTCTACAGTATGAGAAGCCGCCCCACTCAGCATGAAAACGACGTGTTTCTTGAACGTCTTCTACAAGTACGTATACGTTTAGCAATTAATTAATAGCGTACTTATTATGTAAACAAAAGTATAAATGAGAATAATAAGTATGTAAGTACTTATTTCATATGTGAATTTAATAACTCATGTGCTAAAAATGCTAAAAAACAGAGTAATAAGAATAACAGATACCCATTTGTAAACATTTCAGGAAATTTCCACCAGCTTTATGGATTTGGATAAAGCTAATGAATACAGCAACATGGTTGCAATGCAGGCGGCTGAAAACTCGTATAATAACATTATAACGGCGGCGTGGGGTCCGCAGACCTGCTGCTTCCATCCGCGCGCGCTGGAGGACTTGCACAAGCAAGCTGTGAATGACGTGATGGCTCAGATCCTCGCTAAACGACCTGAGCGCGATACCACAGAATTTAAGACCGCAGTCAATCAGGCAAGTGAATCTACTTTCTAAATTACACTTACACAAATATGCTTACAAAAACCAGAATTCCTAGACTTCCCAATAAGGATAAGGCCTAATGTATAATACATCTAATTGTATTGTACATTTATTGAATAAGTAACTTTTCAATACCTACCTATTTGAACTAACACCGATCGCTCCTCCAAGATTAATTTCAATCGCGGGCCTCCAGTTTGCGCACTGACGAGTGACGCTGGGTCAGAACTCCGCTGCAGCGCTAAAGTAGTGCGTGGCGGAACGAACTCCGTTAGGTCAGCAGATCTCATTTCGTATTGGAAGCAACGTCTGTCGCAATTTAGGGCCGGGCACGCTGTTATAGCAGCAGTAAGACCCCTGTTTGTCGGGTGTCGTCATTGTGAGGACCACCCGGAGGATACGATGGAACGTTTGGCGCCCTGCTAGGGCTGAGCTCCGCCGTGTCCTCAGGGAAATGGTCGGCGGCGGCGACCTCTAGCGTCCGGCCTTAGTCGAGGGCATCGTACGGAGCGAGAGGAACTGGGGAGCCATACCATCTTTCTGTGATGCGGTGTGGCTCGCAAAAAAGGAGGTGGAGAACGTAAAAAAACTATCCTCCTTACGCCCCAGCCGCTGTATTAGGAGACACTCCGAGCTACGATCTTCGGCCATCGCAACCGAAGATCTGCGGACAGTGAGCTCGCCGCCCGACCAGAGCTAGACCCAAGCGCGCCACTAAGACTTTACAACACCACTGTTGGGGCCCAAAAAGGTCGATGTTCACTGTTCAGGGGCAAGCGCAAAAAGATAACGCGCGCTCGGCCTGGAATAGGAGAAGAAAGGGGATGGTTACTCCTCAGTAAGAGTCTGACACTCCCTCTCATAAACGGGAGAAGAAATTTGAAAATTAGCAATTATTTGAAAAAGAACCGGCCAAGAGCGTATCGGGCTACGCTCAGGGTAGGGTTCCGTACCTTTTTGTCTGTCACAATAAGTATCCCCAGACTAAGAGTTATTGTAAATTTTAAAACCGCAATTCAGCATAGCAAAAGTACAGTGCCTCTTAGGAAATTAGGTTACTAATTAATACAAACTAAACCAGTTGGTAATTTTGGATTCCGTAAACCAATTTTAATAATTCTTTTTTTATTTGAAAGAAGATACGTTCTGAGTAATAAAATATTTAAGCAAAGTTAAGAAATACTTAATATACTGTTAAATGACAAAATTAGTCCCGATTTTTTTTTGTAGAATATTTCAAAAACTGTTCAACTGTTTTATACTTTTTAGCGTCGTTTTTGTCGTAGCTGGGTTTTAGATTTTATACTTTTATTTTATGATGACGTTTCAAAAGTACCTACCTATTTATGGTTGACTTGGAATACATTACTTTTAATATGACTTTGCAGATAGATTGTTCGAAAAAAAATATCAGACGCGTTCCTACTACGGTAAATAGTAAACTAATTATGTTCTTTTACCTTTTGGCAGATATTTGAAAACCGTTACAAAGAATTGAAAAAAATTAACGTGTACTACAATGAACAAGCAGTGGATTATGCCGTTCTAACGTACGAATCAAAAAGGAAATACCTGAATGTATCGCTTTTTGGGTTTTTCAACAAACTGATAACAAAACATGAGGATGCCAAACGCCAAGCCATAAAAGAATTTATGAACAGGCGGCGCGGAACTGATTACAACAATGATCCATTTTACGACGATCTTTTAAGGGTAAGTGTAAATTTATTATATTATGTTTATATATCTGTATATTAACCCTTCCTCCCCTAATCTTTAAATTCCTTATCCCCCATTCCAAAAACCGTTATACCCACAAGGGGCCGGCAACGCACTCGTAGCTTCTTTGGTCCTGCAGGTTGGCCGACATATCCCACAAAACCGAAAAAAATAGAGCTTTCTAAGGGCAGAACATGGATCGGTATACTATATCCTAAAATTGTAAGTCTTACAATTTGAGACGGGGCAGCAGCATTTTTTCTTGATATGATACAAGTCCTTCAGCATTAAACTAACCGTGGGAATAAAAGGAACCCTAACCTCCGACTCCTAAGGTAGAGGTCTTTATTTAGGAGGTAATTTAAAAAGATAACCTTAGCGCGGGAGAGCCATGCTTGCGCAAGAATAGGCCGGCTTGACAGGAGTAATGGTCGGACCAAATCCGTCATGAATGAAATGAAATGAAATCACTTGCGCTGTGTTTTGTCTTTTTATTATCTAATAGTATCAAAGGCCCATTTCCCCCCTCCCCTATTTCTTAAACCCTAATCCCTTAAATGTATCTACCGACAATGTACTTGCAAGTACTCTGTTGTTGCGGATGTCTATGGGCCGATTGCTAATCACCACGGTGACACGTCCACTCGCTTGTAGATGTGGACCATTATAAAAAAAAAACAGTTGATGTTTAAAGAAGGTTGGCTTACCTGCCTACCTTGAGCAAGCTTGACTTTAGGCTCATACCTTTTCCATACGAAAAGAGGTCTTTGCAAGTTGTGATGTACCTTGTATGCAAATAACATAAAAATATCCTACATAATTATATCATAAAAATATCCTACATAATTATATCATAAAAATATCCTACATAATTATACCATAAAAATATCCTACATAATTATTTTCCTTGGGCAAACCAAACTAAATTATATATATACTTAATTTGTTTCAGAAAATTGAGAAAGTGAACAATAGTTTATAATATACTAAATAAATAAGTACAGGCGATATCCTCCGTTGGTCGGACTGGCTCGTCTTTTACACTTTTTTTACAAATTATTATTGTTTTTCTAATCGTATTAATTATACTGATATTCTTTGAGTAAATATTTATACAATTACTGATGATTTTATTTTGTTTTATTGTCTTGTTACTAAACAGGTAATATACACACATAAGGGGAATGAAATGAAATAATACAAAATCTTATTTTAATCAAAACGCATTTAATATTTAGAACATCATGCTAATGTTAAGTTTTTTTTACAAAACAAAACGTCTTCTAAACGGCAGTGAAGCTAATTTTATTTCACATCGCGATATCATCAAGTGTAATAAAAGTACAAATTTATTTCTCGTTAGCTTAAGCCAAAATATCTACTTATGTAAAATAGTGTTTGGGTAACATTCATTACTTATAAAGGTTGCGTTTTAATTTAATATTAGAAATGCAATTAATTTACTGAGGCAACGTTTATAAATAATAAATGCTTGTTTAATTCATACCGACACCAAAACGGAATAGAAAATTGAGCTGTAAATGTCAAGTCAATACAGTATATAAAACCTGTGATCGTATCCTCCACTGTTCTTCCTCAACTTATCATCAGTACCATAGAATGCATTAATTGATATACATCTTTATTATGTAAATCATAATGTTCATACTCGTGTAACGACGTACCGATATGTGTTGTTAAACAATGCTATTCATTATAGAGTAAAAATTTAGGCGCCATATTGTGAAATTTGTGACGTCATGGCCGTCAAATCAAGCCAGCCGATTAGACAGTGTGAGTAAAACTAAACAAAATAACTAGGTAATTAGGTAAACTTAGTGCAAACCCGACGATAGAACCACAGAATGTTATTTTCCTTATAGGTAGCTTATTGAAGCTATACAAGATAGACACGAGTATTAACATTAAAAACTATACTTTAATGGGGATAATACGCAACGACATTTCACATTTTTGAAAGCTAATCACAGCTGTAATTTGACAATATCATAAGTTTCAACAATTGGGTAGTCAACTATGAATCGCTTATTAGAAGCTTTGATACGAAAAGTAACAAACAATTCTATAAGTATTTTTGCGCGTGTACAGTGTATAAGATTTGTATAAAATTTTACCATAATTACCTAAATCATAGTCCGAAGCAATAATGTAACGACAAAATGTAGGTACGCTAAATATTTTGACACCTGATTGTTGTGGAATTGATTGTCTATGGTATCACAATCCTCGAAACTTGGAATATCTATGCTTGGTATTCTAAAAAACAAACGTAAATTAAAATTCCACCACAACCAATTCTTCGCTAAATTTTAATCAGACATTTTAAGACAATTTGTGCTTATAATGAAAACTAAACCGTTTTTATAATTTTTTTTTTTAATATCTAAATCTTTACATAATAACTATTAGGTTAATACATAGAGTGTGATCAGTGAACTATTTATTTAAAGTATAACTCAACATTAATCTAAGTACTATGTAAGCGCACATGGATATATAATTTTTTATCGGTGTACATATATATATATTATGCATTGAAGATAGATTTATTGCTGATTTTATATGTATATATAGGCTTAAGTATACGTCTTCTATTTAATATTGTAATTCAACAAAATTGGCAGCGTCTCATTGGAAATGCGTGAAGTTTAGTATCAAATGGCAGTGCACCTTCTGCCCGTCGAAGTCACAGAAAATACAATACATTAAAATAAACAAATACAATAAACTATGTACAATACAAATAATAAGATAAACTTGGGGCAATTTTAATAATAATCCCGAACTTATTGTGTTTGGTCCAATGGCCAGCAGGTCAACCTACTCCAATATGTCATTTTTAAATTGGATTTTCCACTTTATAAAAAAACAATAAAGTCGAAAATCTAATACAACCAATATGTAGGTACGTACACCTGTTCTCCTTAGAACTACGACGTTAATACGATTTAAATTCTCCAAAAAAAAAGACCACCAAGTAGAAGTTCATAGCAGAGAAGCAAAAAGTTCCGAATATAAAAAAATGCCCCAAGTTCAATGGCGCCAGGGCTAAAACACAAAGATAATTGTATAAAGCCCACCGTCGCACTTCACCATTCAACATTGCTTTACAAAGTATCGATGACTCGAGTCTATCACCCCTTGCAACCAACTCCCTTCCAATACCCACATTTAGAGCCTGTTTCTGAATATACTGACACTGAAATTACAACAAATCATCCGTCACTGAAACAGGCCCTTAGACGTTTTATTCTCATATGATAAGGAACGACATATTATATATTTGATTACAATAATATTACCAGTGCCATTGCAAAATGAATCTTACTGTTTTATATTAATTAACATTTTTTAAATTCACATTGTATCATTGTCGTGGTATTAAGCATCAATGAACTTCATCTAGTTTAGTTTCTCGTGCATCTTCGGGCACAAATCTGTCCATGGAACTACTAGGGTCTTGGAACACCAATTTAGTGAACCCGTTGAGAGCGTTTGCGCATCACTGTTTACCATAAAAACTAAAGTCCAAAATCTTGGAAACTACTCAAACCGGTTTTAATTAAACTTTTAAGTTACACGCAACACATAATGGTCTAGAAACTTAATTAAGTACATTTTTGAAAAGGAGCCGAAAAAGAAACTTTATTTTAATTTTCCATTAAAACCCGTAATAGTATAACTAACTGCCTACACAAACAATATTTCAAAAAATAAATTAAACTTATTTTTTAGGGCTTGATTTTTGGCATCATACGAAATATATGAATATTGCGTATGATGCCAAAAATTTTGAAGCGTAGGTCATCGGTGACCTGCTTATAGCGGTGGAAATACCTTCAATATTTTTCTGTCGACAGTCAAAGGCTGAATCTAAATAAATTTTCCAATATTTTGGACTTGAAAGAAATGGTCAGAAAGCCGCGGAAACGCTCCGATTCTCCTTATTAAAGACGTTTTTATTTATCATTTACACAGTATACTTTTATGCCTAAGCGCTGATTTTTCAATGGTTAGATAAAAGTTTTCTGGGGAATAATTATGATGCTGTCGCGTCAGAGTGTTTCTATTAGACAGTGACAGCAAAATTTTATTCCTCAAATAACAGTTTTCTGACTATTGAATATATAATTGCCCTTACTGATATATCTAATGGCTTTCCAAAGTTGTTTCTTATTTCATGTATTTCTATAGCGACCCAACATTATTGTAATCAATAAGAAACACATAGTATACCGTCCATTCCCGTCGTCTATCTACGACAACCCCAACACGAAACCGAATACATGCACATTTAAAACCAAAATTAATTAGATAAACTTTAGAACAAAAACAATAAGTATACAACATTTTTACCAGTCTTTTCTGCGGTGATATTTCATTTTGAAACGGACAAACTAACAGTAGACAAGAGATTCGTCTTCTAAAAAATAATTTAAGTGTGAGCCACGACACGAGTATACCAAAAATGAAGATTTACAATAGTAATAAAAAGTTTTGATTTAGTGACATTTCTATAATTTACTTTCTTTGGTAAACTAATGTCGCGGATCACATAGACAGTTATTTGGAAAAGTTAAGCCTGAAACAATTCTCATTGATATCTTAACACTGAATTAAAAATAAATATTCGTAAAAATATTTCGTATCGATGCGATGTATCGATATATAATGTTAGTGCGTGAAGCGGTGCGGGGCGAGCGGGGAGCGCGGGGTCCGCGCGGCTCGTTCAGCATACGCAGCCGCTCTCGTTGCCCTCCTGCTCCGACCCCATGGGGGACTGCGTCTGCAAGTCCACCGCTGTGCCACGAGTCAAGGATATCATACTCCACATATAACAATCTACCTGGTACCTGGAATCACTAGATTTATTTCCCTAGGAGTAGGCACAGCTGCGTGTGTTAAGTTTAATGCGTATATTGTAAAGTAATCACATCAGTTATATTATTAGTCCCATGTGATTAAATGAGCGAGCTTATTGTCGTACACCGAACACAATTTTAGGTCTACTATTACTGAACTGAAGTATTTATTACCTTACTATAACTGAACATTTTGTAATTCTGCCTGCGAGCACTGGATCGATTAGCTCCACTATTAAAAAGAAGTTCGATTCCATAATTGGATTTTTGACAGGAACTTAAATGATCTTTGATTATCTTTTCCTTTTATACTTGTACATCAAAAGGTAACAATACACCAACATTATAATTATCACGATAACCACAAAAAAAGACCGGCGAAATGGAAGGCTCCCGCAAATCTGTAACCTACTTTAAATTCATTGTTATTTCTATGAAACTTACAGCGATGAAAGAAATAAAATGCTGCGAATAGTGTTTTAAATATTTTATTCAAAATAAACCAGCGTGATATGGGTATTTACAATTTCAAAATAAATAAGTGACAATCGACGAACGCACTCTGTCTATGTAAAGCATGTAGGTACTCCTCGTAGAGGGAAACCATTATAATTTGCTTAAGAAAATTATGCAGGCCAGCTTGGCTTTCGTTTTCAAGCCTTTCTACTACTCAAGGGGTTATGATATGTGTATACATAAACAACCCACAGGCCTCACGGAATATGAAGTAGTCTAGTTCCATACATTCGGTTTGGTACTATTCCCATGCTTGCTCAGTACTCGCAGTTAATCAATAACGGCGCATTATTATTTTAAAAGTTCCAATAAAAGTGGTTCTTCTAAAAACATACCTTATAAGACTCGACGAAGTTCTTGTTTTAAAAGAGTGCGTCCACACGACGTCTATGCAGCGACATTATTGCTATCATTCATAAGAAGTACATAATTGGATATGGTCTAAATAAAAACTAGAACTCTTCGAATGGGTACACAAATACCATGAAAATAAACCACCAGTGTTATCTTAATTCCTTAGTAATATACCATAAGACCTTTGCTATTGAGTCCTTTTTAGTTTGTTATACTTTGATGTACCCAGTCGAACTTTCTCGTTTTCCATCAAAAATCAGTACAAAAAATATTGCACTTAAATTATAAAAATAATTTATGTTTAATTACAAGTAAGCATTAATTAATTTAAAAAATATCCTTTATGAGGCCAAACGTTATAATATTTATTGTATATTGCTAATAATTGATTAAAACATTAACAAAGCATTGGAATGATAAATTATATTAAATTTATAAAACTTTGTTATGTATAATATTGAAATAATGAAGCTATCTGTGAAAAATCTCACTAAAATCGTTTTATATATAAGAATTAAAAATTTATGCACTTAAAGCACTAGGTAAATAAATAATACTAATGTACTGGGATTGCGGGACTGTCTTACTCAACATACAGCTGCCCGAGACCGGCGATCTGATTGTGGGTATCAATTAGTACGCTATACATAGAGAATTAATAATTTTATATAGAAGTTTCTAGAACATAAAGACAATGTAGAACTCTTACCAGCGGGCGTCGACAAGAAACTCCTTGGTTAAGTTTTTTACGTTAAAATTTTTGGAAGTAAATTGCCGGAGAGAAAGTCGTGTCTCGCAGTCCCGTGCTATGTACAAAATACAGAGTAGCTCCTACATTAATAAATTAAATAGAAGCGCTATCGCAACACTAACACTTCTGCCGACAACGGTACTCAGAACATCTAGATTATTAGATTATTTTAGTTTTGTTTACATTTTCAATTTGAAATGAATATGGGAAAAGATAGGATTGTAGGCTAGGCTAGAAATAGACTATCAGATAATGCATGGTACCACCGTCCAACAGTTGTATGTAAAAAGTTTTATCCGTATAATCAGTAGTAACAATTTTAGCTTCCATTTTAATTTTGGAAAAAATCGGAAATTAATAACTCGGCCAAACTGACAATTTTTTTTTTATTAGATGTTCTGATATACTGTTGTCCAAAAAATTGGCGTGACATTTCTATTAGCGCTACGATAACAACTGCCCGATCTACCGATCGCAATAAACACTTTAATTCTCTCTTAGTAACAATATTCTTGTCAGTTCAGTATCGCATAAGAAGTCCTGCTTGCTACCCAAACTATCGAAAGCTTTCATAGTGAATGTAGGCGTGCATGCAGTCTCAGTCTCATACGAACTTAAATATAAAACTTGCTTAGAATATATTTTATATAATCATAATAGTATCAAAGGGATAAAATAATATGGGAATTTCATTCTGTGCCTAGGTAAAGTTTATACAATATTGTTATTGCTTGAGTAAGGCAATTAATGATATATGGTTCCTTATCGCACCAACATTGCGATCCAATGACGCCTTCAGCTGATGTTAACGCCTCGTGTTACGTCACCTCGGATTGCAACAAAGTGTAAAAATAAATTCCCACATAAGTACTCATGTTCCTAGTGCGGCTAATACATAGTGCTTTTGTGTAAATGCGTTGTCAAAGTAGCACGTCGCTGTTTTACATAGACCTTTGATTCATAGACCAACGCTGGCCCACAGCTCATTGCTGAGGCAACTAGCCTTTAGCTTCACTTATGGGGCGGCGTTCGCAACTAAATAGTAGCAATTCTTACACAGGGCGGGTTGCACCAACTAACTTTGACAGGAACACGTTATATATGGCACTAACGAGCGTCAATGCACAAGAAGCTTTGCTGCAACTGCTAATTAATTAATAAACTGTCACTAACGTAACCGGGGCGACGCAACCCGTCCCTCACACATTATGGCCTTGCAAGATTTAGTTACTCCATGAACGAAGGCCTATACAAAACAGTTTGCAGTCACATGTAATATTATGCCTTAATTGTTTATAATTTGAAAACTAGTTGAATGTACATTAACATCTAATATCACTGTAGACAAACACACAAAAGCACGCTAGCACGTATCAGATCGGTACAAACGCTCCGTCGCTAGCCCGAGCGACCCGTACGCTGCGCCCTACACGCAAACGGAAATATAGAAATTGATGAAGCTTTTACTTTTTAGTATTTCTGAATCAGATGCAATTTGATTCTTTATTATAAGGTATGAGTGTTTATGTTCGAGTGCATGTATAGGGCGCGCACGCCTGTCTCTGGGCGCGAGCGTGGCGGCGCGAGGCACTAGCACGCGCATCCGCTGTCCGGCTCCTTGTTGTCTCCGGGCGCTTGCCTCAGAATCACCTCGTGCACTGTACAAACACATTAAGGAAAATAAAATCGTACTAGGATACAGGTGGAAACATGAGCTGTTGGCAAACTGGGGAAATTTAGTAAATATGGAATACAATATTCACGTTATTTTCCATAATAGTTTGAAGGGTTAAAATAACTATCTTCTCGAGTTTCGAATGAGATTATAACACAAAATAGATTAATTAACAAAGAATTATTTTCCGATTTCCAAAAAAAATAAACAAAAAAAAACTAGCACGTTTGAATAAAATCTGATGGACTTTTACCTACCCTACACTAATTGGATTACAAACGTTCTGTCAAAAGCAATTAAGTACAATTAAGTATTTTTTTAAATCCGAATCGACACTTCTTATAATTTCGTACGTCATTGTGTCAAGATTTAATTTATTATCAAATAAAAAATTACGAGTATTATATTAATAGATCGTAAAATCATGGAATGAAAGTGTGGTTATTTTTAAATATTTTATAGCATTTGCAATTGTTGTCTTGTCCTAATACCTCATGCTCATGAGAGACGCCAACGTGGATCTCTAGTTTTTTCTTTAATAAGAAATTAGAACGCCATTCAACGTTCAATAGAGCTATTTAATGGACAAGCTAACCTCTACCTATACATATAAGCGCCGTTTAGTATGCAAAAATCGGTAGCCCTGGCTGGATATTAATAATGCTAGATTTTATCTGTTTTTTTGGAGATATTTGCAAATTGATTTTGCTGAATAAGTATCATTTAGTAGGTGTATTCTAAAGGTTTGAAGAAAACTGTCAATGTGTAAATAACGTGAATCATTAACAACTAAAATTTCCCCATAAAGTTTGCCAACACGACAGTCAAGAACATTGTTTCGTTTCAAACCCTATATTACCTTAAGATTTGAACTCAAAACAACGTACTCACAGAAAATAGATTTATAAAGACCGTTATTTTGTTTTTAGGAATAAAGTTAGTTCATAGAAATTACTTTAATAACACCCAAAAGCCTGATACAGGCCATGCATTCCGTCAAGCGGTTTCTAATCAAACTAATGTTTTTTTTTTGAAGCGCCATTTAATAATAATAATATAATAGCAACAACAAATATATATATCAAGCTGTGTTTGAGTGAGTGAACAACTATAAGCTTGTACAATGTATAGTCGACATCATTTTTTTAAAGGGAAAAATTGACAGATGCGTTTTCTCTCCCAGTATATGTGTATGGCGAGAGGGAGTGTCAGACTCTTATTGACTAAATCCCCCCCCCCCCCGTTCGTTCTCCTGCTTTAGGGCAATGCTGTGGTACCTTATTGCGCTGGGCCCGCGAGATAACTTGCTATTTGTTTAAATTAATACCCTTCAGAATGTGACTCCTGTTGGAATTTTCATTCAGTGTCAAATATGTTTAAAAAGAAACTAAATTCCGGGATTGAGGGCGATAATGTAATAAATAATAATGTATCGCCTGGGTAGTTTTTAGTCAGTTAAATGTCTGACACACCTCGCCGCACCCAGAGGGCGAGAAGAAAATAAAGATGATTTTCCTCCTCAAAAGAAAAACATACTTAAAGATGTCGTATTATCGTAGGTATTTTTTTTCTGCTGTGCCTTATTAGGTGACCTCTAATTATAATGGTTTTAAATAAACGGCTAAACTAATATCCGTCGCAATTTTTTTTTTATTTATTTATTGACAGCAGACTTGATGCCGTAAAGAAATTGAAGTAGAGCTTGTACTTGCTCTTGAAAAAAAAATAGCAATAATAATACTGCCGACTATACATTTGATTGTTACGAACAAAGCATGGTTATAAAGCGATGTTATATGTATTAGTATTTATATAAATAAATATATTTTGGACAAAATATAGATAATATATGATGTGTCTATTCACAACTTGTCGCCATAAATAGGCCGTATATGGGACCACAGATTACGTAACTTATAAGACAAAAGGTGAACTCTGGTTTAGTAATAGTAGTTTATAAAATTGTCTATTCGCGATAAACTTAAAAACTACACAACAAATTTAATGTAGTGAAAACAACTAAGATTTTTGAGAAATTTCAAACAGTAATATTTATAACTAAATGCTGACGCAAAAAAGTTCTTATAACGTGCGTAATTTGTGGTCGAACCGGGCGATGAGATGGTATGATCGAATGTATGAGATACAAATACAAAGACAACAGATTAGTAACGTAAGTTTACTTACAACACAGGCGTTAGGACTGTTATAACCACCACCTTAACACTCGTCCGGAACACGTCACTCGACCCGGGAACTATACATTGCTTGTGGGACCAGCTACGCATTATAACCAATTATGATTACATAACATGCTTCTATTGCTGCTAAATATAACGCTTACTTTGCGATCAATAATTTCCATGTGCGAGGTACTTAGCTTTAAAGATTGATTGATATTTAATATTTGTGTTTTTAAATTGTCACCTTAGTAAAGAAACAATTTATTGAAGAAAAATTATTATCCAGTACTATAATAATTTTCTTTATGTGCGTGTTAATCGGTAAACGACACGTACAAAAGTATAAACTATGTAGATATCCTGACCCCGTTCACCATCCACAAGAAATGAAATGAACATGCGAAAAACATCTGTACGAACAAAAAACGCAGCTGATTCCACACAGACAATGACAATGAACACCGTCTCAACAATCCGCCAATGTCCTGTTCTATCGGAACGAAAACATGTTCTAGCAATCATGGGCCGTGTAAACACTAAATATATTACTTAAATACTTCATATATACGTGCGTGTATGAACGAGCGTGGACTCTTGACAGTTAAAAAACATTAGTTCTCTCATTACTTGTTCTTATGTTGTATTAACTTGACATTTCGATTTTAATGAAACATTGTGTTTAAAAACGTTTCAAATGGCGTTGAATTTGTTATGTGTGTATTCTCATCGAACCGCCGAGTTAATACAACGATGTGTTATTTGATCGGACCGTTGAAAACATACGACACTTTAGACCCCAGGTTTGCATGCAACAAGTCACCAATGCATGCCGTACGGTCGGTGTATCGGTCCGGCCCGTATGTACACAACATATATGTTATTTGGTAAAGGATACTGTCTTCCGGAGGCTTGTTCTCCGCCGAGTCCATGCCGGGCAGCGCGGCCGCTACCCGTCGGAACAACTGGAACATATAAACACACATATTAGTCGCATTCAAGGTTTTATTTCTCAAATAAATGTCACAAGACACAGTTTTTTTCAATAATTGAGACTCTCGTTTTTTGGAACAGTCTATTAACTTCTTTTCAAAACTGTTCCTGTATTCCGATGCTGTAAAGGTTATATTCGCATATCAAAGTGTTTGCATAGTATCTCCCGTCCACTAGGGTTGACAATCCAACATGAGTGACCTTCATCGATCCGTGACGTCACTGGCCAGACGTGCACCCTCGTTACTTGGTAAGTACACATTTATACGTAATTGTCTACAATCAACATTGATTTTGAAAAGGAGAATTCAGTCGGTCAGTAGGTAGAATTATTTTTAATGTCAGAATATAGAAGCACTATAACAAAATTAAAAAATAAAGAATTGGCAAATTGATCTAGGCGTTGTTGACTTATGCGCTTCCAACATATATTGTGACTCGTTTTAATATTATATGGACAAGCAAAAGATAAGGACATTAGTCTTGAACATGCTACTGCAAGGCAAACACTTTCTGGGTGGAGAATAGTTACATTAGCAGACTCGAACACCTTTGCATGAGTCGACAGCACCGCCACCGGTCTATAACCCTGAACATCCTGACTTGTACAGCCAATCAAACTTCAGTGTAAACAGAGGTGTAGGTACATACCTACACGGCTTTGTATTGAGCGACAATATTTAAATTAAATTTATTAAAGGTAAAGGTAAATAAAGTATTTATAATTTATTTTTCCACAGGAAAACATTATGTACGTATACAAACATAATATATAACGTTTAAGCTTATTTAGTCGATTTAATAAGTGTGCGAGAGCCAAGCTTTGGCACAAATGGATCGGCTGGACCGGATTGATATCATGACATCACTGAAAACCGGCGTGAAACAACCATAACTTTGTTATCACAGTCGCCGTGTAAGTGAGGTTACTACAGGGCCAATCCTTCCTCTCGCTCCATCTCTCCCCGATCCCTAAAGCTCGGAAACCCTAATCCCCAAGAGGCCGGTGTTGCGGTGTTCATGGGCGCGCTGATAGCTTACCATCAGGTAATCCGTGTGCAAGTTTAGCGACTAACTACTTAAGTCATAGTGGATACTGGAAAATGTAAGTTATACCAAATGGAATTACAAAAAAAAAAAAAATACGGGCCATAGAAGCACGTAGTTGTCTTGACAATAAGCAGTCATCGCCTTCCATAGACATAAGCAAATTTTTAAAGGAGATCGTTTTTTATTTTATCAGTTTACCAAAAAGGTACATTTCAGGTTTTTAGACGTTTTCCCCACCCTATGGTTTTCTCCTGCGTCGTGAGTGCGTTTACAAATATACAATACAACTTCTCACATACATCACACCCAGACCAGGAACAACGTTTTGTGGATCACACAGAGCCGTTATATGCGGTACCGTGCGTACCAACCGTGCAGTCAAATGTACATAATGTCCAACCAATCTTTACACAGAGTTTTGTCTATTGCTAAAGAAGGTTATTCTTCTTACCTGTTTGACATTGTATCCTGCTTTAGCGCTGGTCTCTATGAACATAACGTTGAGCTCCTTGGCCTTCCTGTCCCCGTCCTCGGTGGACACCTGCCGCTTGTCCGACAAGTCAGTCTTGTTGCCCACCAGCATGATGATCACATCAGAGCCACGCTCCGTGCGGACGTCGTCGATCCATTTCGATGTCTGGTGGAATGAGTTTGCATCTGTCGAAGACGTTACGATTGTGTTATTTATTTATCATCAACATACAACTATTATCACAGGAGTTTCCTAATACAATAGTGTAGTAACATTATAAAGAAGTACATAAAATCAAAATTATTATTATTGTTATTATCTTACTAATATTATAAATGCGAAAGTTACGATGTTTACATGTTTGTTAATCAATCACGCCAAAACGGCTGGACGTATCTGGATGAAATTTGGCACAGGCTAGGATACACTCCGGAATAGAACATAGGCTACTTTTTATCAACATACCACATGGGCGAAGCCGCGGGCGGAAGCTATTTAATTATATTCAAACGATTGGCGCTACAGCTGGGAGCCAAGAATACTGGCTTGAATCTAACACAAATCAATGAAATTCCACAATATCAGAGTAGGTTTGTCAATGACGAAAATAAAATGTCAAGCAAATGGTCTTATAATCCCTTACGAATTTTATACCAGTCAATATATAACACACATTTGTTTGATTCCATAATTGGTTTTCTATAATGGTTACTCTTACCCAATAGTTTAACATGTGTGGGAAGACATACGCAACTCCAAAGCAGGTTATGTATAAGACTATACTAATAGAGCGTTTATACATTATTAAAATAATCAAAAAGAACAACTACATTAGTTACTGGAGGAATCCCTGACCTCTTCTTCGAATAAAATAATGTAAGTGTTCGAGAAATTTTGATAAAATCATTGTATATAAATTATTAAACTAATTTATAATTTTTAGGAACTACTTTTAATTTTTTTTATTCTGACATGTAGTTATATCTGTGTTTTATAAATGAATAGCTGTTTTTGGTGTAACCGTTGTATTTAATTAACATATGAATAAATAAATAAATACAAACAAAAACAAAAGTAACTGTATCTGTCTGTCTTTTCTTAACGTAAGTTTTTAAACCAAAAATCTAAGTAAATCTAAAATAAAAGGCCACGAGAACAAAGTCGCGGGTAAAAGCTCGTATTTATATAAAACGTGGGGTCGTTTTAAACTTTTTAAAAGTTCTATTCAACCGGTCTTTATTCGTATCTCCTACATGACGTACGCGTGGTGGATGATGTCATCGACCTATCTTTGCACCGTCATCATTAATTACATGGCAATTTGATCATCAAAATACCTACCGTCTTCCATAATTCGTTACTCAAAATCAATTAAATTTTTACAAATCTAAATGTTAACCGGTAGAATATGTATTTCTGTTTAAAATAGGCACAACAAAGTATTAATAAATGCCTAATTAAAGTAACGTATTGAAAATAGGTCATCATAAGCATATGCATGAGCAAAATATTTTTTCTGTGTTATTTATTTATACTCCAAATACATCTCGATCTCGATTAATAATATAAATGTGAAAGGAAGTTTGTTCATCCACTTGTCTTTACGATTCCATAAGAAATTCAAATTAGTTGACATAAATTACTGATCTTAATTGAAAATTAAAATCTCTGGATCAGTATTTCACTGAAACGACAAAATCGACCTTAATCCAAAGCTTTTGGATTGTAATTTATTTCGACCTTAAGACGAATGCGAGAGTCCAAGCTAGATACCCATGTACATATATATATGAAGTATAGTTATTTACATATACTATGTATGTATATGAATCTCTCAAGACACGAACAGATACAGTTACGTTGTTGAACTACGTCCCACGATTCAGCCCACTTGTTCACATGGGAGAGTTCGTCAAGCATTATTCCTTTCTTTATCGTTTACAGTAGCTTTACGATCAATTAGTGAAGTTTTATTGCCAGAGCCATTATCCACAGAATCCTAGGTACTTCTTTCTTAATAGTCATATTTTTATACACACTTCGTTCAAGTTATGCCGAAAACGACCAAAGAAAATATACATAGGTTTATTTACTTAATGATATAAAGAACAAATCGATTCGTTCATAGCATTTCAGACAGGCGCACTAACAGATAGGTATTTGTCAAATAGGTTAAACTATAGCACTACTCTTCTTGTTTCTGGGATTAAAAAAGTTATTTATTTTGACGTATAATTAGGGATTAAGTAATGTGAGATGAATATAAAACTATATAGCTTACTTGTTCATATACAGTAATAGTAAAATAATAACACATTTTCATTATTACGCGGTCAAACTTGTAATATTTTTGTTATTAAGTACTACAAATACAATATGCGATAAGGAAAGATTATTTTTAACAACGCAACCTTGTATGACTAAGACAATGAAATAGAATTTATGAGTAATATTTCTATGTATTTGATTTGAGTAAGGAATCTGGAGGTAAAACATTAATTGCTGTAACCTTGAGAGTATCAAATCAATTTACTTGATGTTTTATATATACAAACACCACTGCTGAACCCGCAGCAGACTGTTGTTCGGGCACAGGTGACATTTACGTTGCCTTATTATTTCTCTGAAGCATTTAACAAATTATCAACTGAGAATACATAACTGACAAAAACTAGAGACTGGTTTACGGACCTGTAAAGAAAGTAGGTAAAGTTTCCTTTCAATTAAAATCGAAATTATTAACCCATGATTTGCCCGAGCGCAGGTCTACGCGAAACGCAATGTGTTTTGTTTTATATTGTCTTATATTCCGGTAGACAAGTGGTTAATAGCGGTCAGTTTAAGCACCTACACTGACAATAATAATCGTAGTTTATCACTACATAGTATAAAACGAAGTCTCTTTCTCTGTCCCCATACACCTATGTATGCTTGAATCTTTAAAACTACGTAAGGGATTTGATGTGATTTTGTGTGATTTGAGGGATTGAAGCGAAAGGTTTACACTTTATACATATGTATAATAACATTCATTAATTAATAATGAAATTTTGTATCAGCATTGCATCCATGCAAAGCATAATGTAATTGAGTAGGCGATGGATTGCAAGCACTATTACCTAGCAAGAGATTCGAACTGAAATCCGGGATAGGGCAAAGTTTAGTTTAGAGAAGATTAGAAAAAAGAAATTTTTGTGGGAGAGCCATGCTTCGGCACGAATGGGTCGGCTCGACCGGAGTGATACCACGGCCTCACAGAAAACCGGCGTAAAACAACTACAGCGTTGTGTTTCACCTTGTGAGTGAGGTTGCCGGAGGCCCAATCCTTCCCCTCCCCCAATCCCTCCTCAATCCCTAAATCTCCAAATCCCTAATCCCTAAAAGGTCGGCAACGCACTCGTAACTCCTCCGTTGCTTACCATCAGGTAATCCGTCTGCTCGTTCGCCGATCTATTACATAAAAAAAAGAGAATTCTCAACAGCAGCATGGAACCTCTTATCATCATTCCCGAGGTATGGTAATAACATAACACTTAATCGCCTAGGAGTTTCATTAAATAAAGTGTTTGTATTTATTATATTTCAAATAATATAACTAATATGAGAAACATTAAAAAATAAACTCACGCACATGATGAGTATACGGTACAGGCTGTTAAATTACGAAGTAGGTTGAGGTCGACACAGATTCTTACGTAGACTGAATAGAATGTGAGTACTTCTAACGAATAGGCTCAAAATTGATCTTTAAATCACAAATATCTTACTAACCCTAATATTAAATCAGTTTAATTGACTTACAGTATTCAGATAGTCATAAACACTTATCAGGTTTATTAACCGGTTTCCCAGTTACAGAATTGAGTCTATGCATGCTGCCAAAAATGTAAAACACCCTTTTAGCTGTTGTTGTTTTAGTGTAATCGACTTTCACGACGCTAACTGGAAGAGGAATGTGACAAATATGCAGTGTTATATGTATTTTGATCTCATAAAACATAGCCACCAACAGTCTCTAAAACACCCATCTGCAAACAGGTCGAGTATCTTAACCGTATAAATAGTTTATATGTCATAAAGAACTCGTTACCAACAATACACGTACTGCCTTTTAAACAACGCTAATTAAGGAAATATATACAATTAAGAATATTCCGAAGGCGAACCTTGAACGAATATGAAACTAAAACTGTGCCAATAATCAGTTGTAATTCTCGAATCGATATCCAGACGGCCTAACATGCTACGATCAATAAGTACTGCGATAGAAACTACAACAAAATCTACAAATACGTTTGTGAACATAGGATTGCCATATCTTCAACAATTGTAAATTGTAATTAAACTTTTATTTTCAAGGTTTTTTCTGATTGTTGATTCATTGGTTTATTGAGTTACACATTTTTTATCAAAGTTACAGTATCGATCGACATAATCATGGACATATAAAAAAGATGGTATTACACTTAGGAATAGATAAGGTGACCTAAAATCTGCTTAAAATTAGAAAATCAGAAAGTGTTATACCTAGCGCCTAGACATAAAACTTAAAGGCTGGGCCAAGGTTCGTGGGAGGGCACCGAACAAATATTTGTCACAGGCGACACAAATCCCCCAACCAAATATTAACTTTCACCCCTCTCAGTATAAAGTCTACATTTGTTCGGAGAACTTGTGAACGATTGATTTAATTAAAGATTTCAAATTGTTTTCTGAGCGCAGTGAAATCTAAATGTTAGCTAGTACAGTTCAATAAGTACGTTTGTTTAGTAAAATTGTGAGTACTGAGAAGCAGAAATATATTCTGGTAGTCTGGGAGCTGCTGAGGGTAGGAAAAGTTCCTCCATCACGATCTGACTAGGCTAAAAAGCTCGCAGAAAATGGCTAAAAATAATGATACGTAAAACGTAATATTTATTAGATTTTGATACCTTGACAAATAAAATGATGAGGAGCGTCTAGCTCAGCTCACGACACTAAACCTGATATACGATCGCGCGTTAAATTGTAACCTGAGGCGCGATGACCGGCGGGCCATTGGCCCACTTTCGCCCTTTCAGAACCACGCTACGTGCAACACTACTGTAACCACGTCTTTTCATTTCCCGGTTGCTTAAAACGTTTTATGAAACACGCTGAAAAACTATCAAAGTAGAGGACGCAATGTGCACTGGCAATCGAGGTGTTGTGGTTTGAAATGTATGCTCAATGTCAATGCCAGGTGACGAGGTCCTTGCGTCTATCCGTTTATAAAAACAAAGGCGGTAAAATCTTACTATCGATCGAACAATCGCTTCTTTACTTCACTTCAGTCTATCGACCAAGTAACTAGAGATGTCAATTTTCAATTACTTATTTGCTTGATGCTTTAACACTAACCCAGAACTCTTTGATGAGATCACGTTAAACTACCTTTCCGGATGAGGACTTTTATGACAGTCTTTATGGATGTAGTGAAGCAGCTAAAATTTACAACTGGAAAACTAAAAAAGCATGTTGTGTCTTTGAGCCTAGGTTATAGAGGTCAAATATATTAGCTTCACAAATAATGACGTACGTAGATGCTATTGAAACAAATATGGTTTCGTTAAACTCAATGACTACTTCAACGTGGTTTGCGAAAATGATATCAGTTAGAAAGAAACGTAGACGACATCTTCCAAAAGCTAGTCCATTCTAGTAGCAAAAACAGCAAGGCTTTGTGAAAAACAAAATGCATCATTACCGCAAAACAATTTATACCAATTACTTTGTGTGCCATCCGCAGAATATAATGGAGTTATTTTTTATCCAGATGTGAGCGAGGCTCAAGGGTTTAAGATATCGTTATCTCGGGATTCAATTCGGGCAACATAGTTGGACAAGAGCGGTATTTTATGTACTTACTTGGACTTTCTGAGAACTAAGTTCTGTATCCAATTTCTGTTAGACATCCCCTAGTTATAAGGTTAAACTAAGAACGTAAAACATTATGCCTTCAATAATTAAAACACTTGTCCAATAAAACCTCAAGGAATTCTCAAAGACCGTTAACAAAAGTACAGTTGGAAGGTTTTCTAGAACTCAAAATATTTTCTCCGAAGCTATTACATAATCGGAGGCTTTCTTCGATTTCGATGGTGTTATAGATAGCAAGTATTGATAGGTATCGGCAGATCGATGGCAAAGGCCAACAGAGCGGAAAACTATGAAGATTCCTCGTGAAATTTTGATGCCTGTTTTTCCGGGTGCATTATTGATGGACTGATCGGCTCCCGTCCGTGTCACAGGGTAATAAGTAATAAGACTATCGATCATATTCTTACACGTTAGTTCTGCTGGTTCAGTTCACGACGATTACAATAAAGGGTGGGAAGTTCAAGAAATTCGATGCTAAGATGTAACATTTACTTGACGTTATATTAGGTAAATCATCATCATCCAGAATGGTAAATAACGAATCTACGTAGCAGTGAATCATTTTCCAAAAAGCTAAATATTTTATGAGTTACTACGAATATAAATAACCCACATTTGTTATATACTTAGAAATAATATAATTGGCGTAAATGGCCACAATTTCTTTGCATTATGTACCTACCACCAAAATAAAAAAAATAATGTTTCAAACAAAATAAAAAATAAAGAGTTATCTTCATCTCCTTTCGACGTATACTTATAATCCTGTACATAAATAAAAGGAAGGAGTTTTGCTTTGAAAAATTAATAAGGAAATAGGTATTAGGTACCTACGTAAATACTTACTGGTAATATCGTAAACCACAACGGCGACAGTGGAGTCCCTTATGTAGGAAGGTATGAGAGATCGGAACCGCTCCTGTCCGGCGGTGTCCCAGAGCTGAAGCCGGACCGTACGGTCCTCCAAGTACATAGTCTTCGAGAGGAAGTCAATTCCGATAGTTGCCTGTAAAACAGAATACACCTCATACTTAGATCAATTTTCATCTAACTATCGGAATAAAGAATTACAAGTTGGTGACACTTATGAAGGGCTGATTTTTCAATAGTTAGATAAAAGTTATCTAGGGAATAATTTTGATGCTGTCACGTCAGAATGTTTGTATAAGACAGTAAGAGCAACAATTTTATTCCTCAGATAAAATTTATCTGAATATTGAAAAATCAGTTTTACATTCCAACTTTAGTTTATAGTTCCAATATTGAGATAGTTTCACGATAGAACAAGTTGAAACATTAGTAGGTAAACTAAAAAAATGCTAGAAGGAAAGTCGTTAACATTAAAATTTGTAAGCTACCAGTATTTCAAGATTGGTCCAACAACAAATATCATAAAACCAAAACATGCAAGAGATCAGGTTTCTTATTTTTAAATATGGAAGGATTCCCATAACCAGATCAACCTGGTAAATACAGACACTTGCTTAGGACGCCTTTTATGCAGAACCTAAGTTCAAAGTTCAGCCGTAAAACACTTTATCGCCTCATAAACCCTACAAGATCTAGGCCAGTGACGTTGGCGATGTCTAATTACCTGACACCTATTAAACTTGTTCCTAATTGCTTTTAGTCATTTTATTAAATTTCTTACTTACATACCCGTTCCACTTCATAACGTAAATATTCTTCAATATGTGTCTCTATTAAAAAATGCCACAGTAGGCGCTCGAAGCTACTGTTATGGTCACTCTCACGCAAGAGATTTACATGATATTTGGCAGTTATTTCGGTATAGCAAACAATTAAACTCAATTAACGAAATGTCAGTATCATGACTTCGGTCTAGACGCCTTTATTCAACTGTTGCAAAAGATAAAATAATAACCTACCTACTATTAAACGACTAATTAATTCAAAATTAATTATTGTTATATTTATAATCTAATTTAAAAATACACAATTAATGAAATTCATCCAACATTTTTATTCATATCTAGTCTTCCAGTTACATTAATTGTAGTATGCTCAAACAACATTTATAACAATAGAACATAGCTAGACTGTAGAGACATATGGCCGCACAACACGAAAAAAAAAGAGCAATTTCAAATTGTTTGGAGTTTGAGTAGTCGGTCGTAAACATATTAAACGCATGGTTGAATCGAGACAACTTTTACTGGTGGTCGTAAAAACTGCCGAAAAAACTCTAATAAAAGAATATTCGTAACACATCGCCTAAAAAATTGGAAAATAATTCAAATTAAAATGTACCCAAGTAAGTACAACATCAGCCTTTCATACTCTCGCATTTTTTAATCTGACGATTACCTTATTGCAGACTGTAATTGGAAATTGTAAACTTGATATTTCTTTTAGTTATTTGATATTTCCATTCAACATATTTCAGACATAAAAAAACAAGTAAAAATCTTCAATTTAAGTGAAATCTTTTAGCCCAATTTCGACAGTAGCCGATTTCGTGATATCGAATTGTTAGCAGCCTGACAAGTAAATAGAAATAAAACTGCAAATAGTTTCAAATTGTTTATTTCTGTGATTATTGTTCACGTTTAAATAAAATATGATGTGGCTGAAGAGTTTATTTGGTTTAACATGCTAAGCCTTAGATCACCATACAGATTACAAAAAAAACAGTCTTCAATCGTATTTAAATACGATCCGACTCTTTGGAATGCAGATAAAATTTGGTTTTATTTGAATAAATAGAACATCTCATCTAATATCATATGTTTTTATGCGATAGGCAAACAAGCAAACGGATAACTTGATGATGAGTAACATGGAGAAATTATAAATGTGTTGCCGGCCTTTTAGGGTACATAAATATTTACATTTAAACATTTCTCACAGATCAGCCTTTTTATGGGCGAAAAATTATATCGCAAACCATTTACTCATTTTCGGGTTTGCCGTGTTAAAGAAATGTCTTTACAGTAAAATTACTTTTCTTATCGATTTCCGACCATTTCTACGTAGTTTCCTAATCATAATAATCTTAATAGACTTAGAAGATATTCTTGTACAGTGTTTGTCCTCTATAAGTTTACTACCCACGATACGAGCATACAACACGAATTTAATTACACTTATATGTTACAGATAAAATATAATACAGATAACATAAACTGTCAATATATCAGACTGTATTACTGATACAGATTATTATTATCGATTGCGTTCATAATGTTTTTATTTGACAAACACATTATTTGTGTATTTATAAATAAGTATTCGGTAAAATACTAAGGTCGCATATGCGAGTATGAAGTCTCTTGCAAAAATTATACAGATTGGAAAAAATGTTAATGAGATTATAGACTAGAATTGGTTTCAGAATTAGGTCATAGTCACTGTTGTCGTTGTAAAGGTAAACCACCAGCTTCTTTTCAATTTCTGTTAATGATTCGACTCTATTACAATACTGTTGAGTTGAAAATCAAAATTACAAAAATAACTTTCTAGGGATAGGCGTGTACATTGTACGTAAACAGTAAATTATTACAAATATTGTACTCAGTACCCATTAGACAAGGTTGAAGTAAAAAACTTCCTTTTTGTGAACAATCAAATTACTTCCACTCACAGTAGTTGACCTTTAAAGAATTAATATCTAATTTTTGTTTCAAATTTCCAAATTTATTTCAAACATTATCAGGGCTAGAATAATTAAAAATCAAATGAATTGCTTCATTTACATTTGTGGTCAACATCTGTTTTATTAATCCTAAATATTTATAATCATAAAACCCATCTTTTACTTAGAAAATAAATAAGATGATAGGACATTTTGGTGTAGTATCAGCTCGCCCCCTGGATCTTGCCCCTTCCGATTAAAATGTTCCACTCGCCCCGTTTTTATTAATTTGGAGTTGTGGTTCGCCCCTTACGAAAACCCTTACGGGGCGAGTGAAAAATTTAACAATTAAATAATTATTTTGATGCATCGACTCGCCCCTTGCGGCATTCCCTTTGAAATTTAACTAAAAAAGGTATATTCAGAAAAATGTACAGTAAACAAAACTGGTAAGTAGTTTAACCACTTGTGATAGTTTTATTACCTGGCTTACCTATTGTAACAAAAGGGACCTTTTATGGGACCATTATTAAAGTTTTAAGAAAAAATATTCATTTAAATATTTTATAAACTTAGAGTTCTGACAGTACTTTTAACTAACCAACAATCGGGGGCGAGTTGGAGTATCTAATAATATAATTTAAGGGGCGAGTTGATGCACTTAGGCAATCAGGGGCGAGATCCAAGGGGCGAGCTGAGCCTACACCGACATTTTACCTATAAAATAATTTATTTCACTAGTATCTTAATATTTCTTTGTGTGATGTTATGGTGTATAATAAAGAATATTTTAATTTCTTTTTATTTTTGTAACCAAAATGCAACTTCATACAAAAATGTAATCCAAAAGTTAAAAGAGAATAATATATTACACAATGCATTGTTTATGTAAGTGAATTCCATAAAAGAGGTAATCTCTCATTTAAATTGTTGTTATTCAAACAATTTAATTGTTACTGAGTTTATAATTATGCAAATATTTTAATCAACTACTTTTTCAACGAATGCATTGTTTGAATCTCTATTCTTCTGCTATATTGTACCTGAAAAATGTCTGAACTTTTACACACTATTTTTCACAGGAAAAATAGCATTTTATTTGTTCTCAATTCTTGAAGAGGCTGATAAACAGCAGCTGTTTTTATCTCAATAAACTTCTGAACTAAAAATCAACTCTACAAGCATGTCATCAAAATTTAATTGAGCCCCGAGTTATTTCATTATTTTAACTATTTTATATTAACAAACAAAATGGACCCTTATCACACAGATATTAGTTTTATAAGGGTCAGTAAATAAACATTAAATCCTGTAATTACAATCCAATAACAGTTGCTAGCCATAAATATAAAATTATCTCTTTATCCTTTAGCTAAAGATAAAATAAGCCTCAAGAAATGTTACTTCTTGATAAAAAAAAAAACAAAATTATTAAAATATATACATAATTTTGAATTTTATATGGGCGCCCCATGACTTTTACCCACATGACCATGTTATGTAGGCTAGGAATCATACATTGTGTTTGAATCTGAAAGAAGTCAATCCATACTTAAATTTTGTTTTTTGTGAACACGTAGTTCCTATTAAATTATGGCTGTCGGCTACTTAACCAGACAAATAAGTCTATTCCCATTCCAGACTAAAACATATGATTGTGCTAAATAAATAGGACAACTGGTGTTTAAATATCTTCTATTAAAACACTAGGCAATAGTGTTTTACCTTGGCAACTATAAGCGGAATAAATTATCAGGATTTTTTGGGAAAACCATCATTTTACTTATGACAATCCCCACCATTGTCAGACTTTTGCTGACTTAAAACCACCTTTATTCTGCTCCTAAGGGCTGGAGCAACATAATTCCCCTTACACTCGCAACCCCAGCTGGATCTGTACTTCACTACATATTTAATCAAAGAGAACAGAGCACCTTTGTTTTAAATTTATATGACATCACATTTCAAAATACCAAGAAACAACTTGTATAGTTATAAAAACACAAAATTTATAATGATTGATCAGATAATATTATTTTTTTAAGTTTATTATTTACAAACTACCTACACTCTACTTTGGACATCAAAATCAAAGAGAATATGGATATTTTAAAATAAAAATATTCCATGAATATAAAACAAAGATTTATAAACAAAAGATATTTTATTTATAAATTTCCTATAAATTATTTTCAGTGGCAGTGTATTTATCATTACCTATATGTAAATATGTATTAAATTGGAATTCAATATTTTCTCTATATTTAACATAAATACATATATTTTTATATTTTATTTAATGTAATTATATTAATTTAGCAACAACTACATACATACTAGAAGGTAAATACTGTACCTAATAAGAATTATTTTAGTCAACAAATGTTCAGAAACTACAATAGAACCAAATAAATAGAGTCATTACAATCAGATAAGTGATTTCAATGATTTTAAAAATAATTTTACAATAATATTCATAGCTTATTGATTTTATCTTTAAACTATGCAAGAAAGATAAACAAATCTATAAAATATTCTGATTGCTGTGACTAATTTACCATAAATAATAGATTTGTATGCTAAAACTGGTAGAGGCAGGAAGAAAATAGATATTTACAGTTGTTTTATGAAAGCACCTCAATAAACTATAGGTCATAAAAGGTCAAATAGCACACTCAGTGAGTGCAATCTACTTGATGCTTGTGAATATATCTGTAAAATTCTAATGAGATACATATTATCATGTTAGGATGACAAAGTTCTTAGTTTTAAATTTCATTACAGAACTATACTATCAGAAAGTTATTTTATTTTATGTTATCAAATAAGAATACTTTCAATTTTGAGCTCAGTCACTTTCATTGCACTTCTCATTCAGAGCAAAAATTATGAGCATTATCTTGTTCAGATGTTATGCAGATACAACATTATTCTCTACATAAATATTCATTAGGTCCAATGACTAACCAGTGATGTAATTTATAACTGGACATTGCCATAACTCCTATGACTTTCCTTCCAACACAGTAGCAGTCTGGTAATAAAGTTGGCATGAGAACTTGATTACTCACCTGATAAGTGTTGTCAAAGCTATCATACATGAACCTAGTGATGAGCGACGTCTTCCCCACTGAAAAAAAACAAATCTGCGTGTCAGTACACCATCTAATTGCCACGGTACGATTCTAATCAAATACAATGATTGATAACGGCAGATACGCGTGAGAACATACTACAGCAGCGGTTCAACGCTCACAATGTACCCAGAGAGTGTAACCTACATCTCAGCATAACGTAATTCGGCACAGACGCGGCAGACAGTACGGATAAAGTAATGACACTTTTTTCGCAAATAAAACCCGCAACTTCTGCCTCCCCGGGCCTATGTAGGTCAGTAATTCGATAAAGTCTAGACGAATCTATACTTACTTATCGTAAATTCAAAACTATATATTAAAAATGTACGACGGAGGGGCGATTTTTTCCCCTTACTCACCGCTCTGTTCCCCCAGGAAAACCAGCTTAAACTTGCGTAAAGGATTACCGAATTCACCCGAGGCAGACATCGTGATTGAGTAAATTAGTTCGCTAAACTATAATTTCACAGTAATTCTTATCACAGAAAACTACATGAACAATGACAGTTCAAGCCACTGAGCCACTCCTGCAGCACACACACGAGCGCAGCGCCGCCACGTTACGGCAGACTGACGGCGCGACGCACAAGCCAACTCAGCAAAAATTATTTTAAATAAAAAAATATTTCGTTCTTTCACAAAGCAGTAGTGCGTCTGTTTTGGAATCTTTTAATTAATCGCGTATTGTTATATTTATTCCAATCAGTAATTGGAATATTCTTTTGTAATTAATTGCTCTTTGTTGCGAATATTGCCAATTGAGTTTCTGAACGTAGTAAGCCAGTGTTGTGATTTAATTGACATAAATAGAGATGTCCTAATTTCATCGACTATTTTTTTTATTTTGTAATGTTGGTTATAGATTTTGAAATCATATAAATGCTGCAAAATATTTAAATTAGACCCTTATTCAAAATAAAATTAAATAATTTTATTCTTATGTGTATTATATCCTGCTCTACCTTCTTATAACAAAGCGAGTTACAATATTCTAGCTAGAACTGCGATAAGAAATATGAGTGCACTACATATAGGCAGGGCCAGATTAGATCAGGGATCCTTAAGCGATGCAATTCTAGTGGCCCTTTTTCCTTGCTTTGCGAATGAATGACATTGATTTTAAGATAAGAAAGTTTTTACCCGAGTCTTTGGCTATCTAGCGTCTTCTTTTTTTCTTAGTAACTTTGATGCCCCTGGGTTCCTAAAGATTATTAATCCAGCCCCGCACATAAGCATAGGAAATTAAGTTTTATGGTTTCATAAATTATGATGACTTTCTGCAGTGTCTGCTACCTTATGGTGCAACATTATTGTGTAATATTTTGCTGGACCCAAGAACTGAATGCTTTGTTCAACTCACAACCACTAGCATTTGTTTTAATATTACTTTCACTCTCTGCTTTTACCGCCCGAGCCCTCTAGATACATACTAGGCGACCTATGCTATTTGAGAAATCTACTTTATTGTAAACATATTTGATTTACTTTTTTCTTTACGGCCTTCCTTTTCTAGCACTTTTTCTAAGTTTGCCTTAAACTTCTCTTTATACTATGCCTTAAACTTCCAGGTAAGGCGCACCTTCATGTTCGTCAAAATATGGGACCAAATTATTAAAAATCAAACGATTTTTAGAATTTTACATGTTATTTTAATATTTACAATATAATACAATGGACAAAAATAAATATCACAATTTTATAACTCAGTATTTAAACCAGTATTAGGTACTCAGTACTTACACTAATACTAATTGGAAATAAAACGATCTGCAAAGAGACTTGGAACACTGTACTACTATAAGTTTTGTTGTATTTCTAAGAACATGTGGTTATATAAAATAATATTAGCCTGGATCTGCCGTAGAAAAATTAGAAAAGAGGAATAAATAATAAAAAAAAAAACACTTTGAATTTTAAATATTTCTAAATTTAAAGTTGTACACATAGTGTTTCTACTACTTATAGAACACCAAAAATTAACCATTAATTCATTTTATTATGAGTAACCCTTGAACAAGAACCAAAAAATAAAATTTCGCCATATTTAAATACTTAAAATATTACACACACAGCATGTCAACTGTGCATTACAAGCATACCTAATATCTAAACTCAATAGAATTAACTTTGCATTAATAAAAATAAAATATTTCAAAAATAGTGTTAAAAAATACTATCAGAAGAAAGGCTGTATTTTCAACGAAAATATTAAAATAGAAAGAAAAATCTTTTTTATGAACTGTATCAAGGAAAATAAATACTCTCTAGATGTGTACACTAACAAACAACTTTATGTAGTAGAATACATCTGAATAATTCTGTAAGAGATATAAATACATGCTTAAATACTAATAGTTCCGATTCTTTGGTGATTTTTTTATCATAGGGATTTAATTTCGGCAAGTAATACAATATTACAGTTATCTTTTTTACGATTATAAGTGCTACCTATGGTCACATGTTATTAACGTGGTAGCTAATAAAAAATAGTTAATTCGGTATAAAATATAGGTACATGATGAAAGCACAATTAAAGATTTTGATCTTTTAGTGGTCTATATAAATAACTTTGTCAGAACCTTTAACCATAGACATTTCTGGTGGATATACGCAAAAACATTTATCACGACTGATCGAGGAAACTTACAGGCAAATTAGGAATTCAGCTATCACCATTCTACACAAATCGACACTTTGTCCTTTTCAATGTAATTTTTGTACCAACTCACGGAGCATGGCGTCTTGGCGGGTACATGTTTTCTTCAACGACAATAACGCCACAGAGTAAATCGTATCCGGTGCGGTTGTGACGGAATACAAAGAGTACTACACAGAGAGGAAATAGTAAAGAAATGAGGAAGTTTTTCATTAGTGACCGGATAAGTGCCACTGTGAAAGAGAGTGTTCTGCCGGGATACAGAAGAACAGTCTCCCTTGGTCGCCCCTCTACAGGAACGACGGCTGACGCCGTAACTACACGGATGCCAAGTAACGCCTTCCCGGGTGTCGCGCCGCCTGTTCGTCCAACACTACTGGATAAGCAAAAAGCCTGAAAATAAAATTGACAAATTTATTTTTTTCAACTCTCTGGACTCTAACTCTTTTCTCAAGATGTTCAATGATTAAATATTATATCAGGTTTCAGCCTGTTGCCATTTTTACGAAATGGCAACAGGCTAAAACCTTGCTATTCAGCATGGTCTCCAGTTGTTTTGCAGTAGTATAAATGTCTAATTAATTGCTGCTTGTCAAAAAAATTTTCAAAAGAGAATGTTTTAAAAAACAGTTTAATTAATACACCAATTACCTCAAATATGCACACCAATATCCTGTAAATGACTTCTAGAAACAGTATTTCAGAAGTCAACTCCATTGCATACTTATAGTCGTCATAGTGTTCACTGAACTTATAGAAATCAAACTTGTCAAGGTCACTGCAATCAAAAAAAAATATAAAGTTATTTTAAGATATCATGTTTCAGTTATTACCTTATCTTCAAGGTTTTCATGCAAATTAATTCTATAAGAATACCAAATTCAAATTATATCAGCTACAATGTCTATTTATGTACTGATTACATCTGTAAACTAGTGACCGTTTCAGTATGTTGTGTCACATAAATAAATCATGTCTGGTTCAACTCACCAGACATGATTTATTTATAATGTGTGTCATGTCAAGTATTTTACACACAATTTTTCCACATTTTTCAACCTTTCTTCAACCAGTCCACTTCTGTGGAGTTCCACCAATATAACATAATATTTATATATTTTTTTAGTTACTTTTATATGTTTATATAAATATGTTCTCATTCTTGTGCCTCAGACCTGTTGAATTGCTGTGCCATTTTTGACAAAACTTTTGTATTTATATCAACATAGCTTTTGTATCAACAAAGCGGTCTAATATGCAATTATTTTATTATAAGTGACATCATAATATCCTTAAAAAAGAACAACACATATAGTATTTCAGTTAATAAAATAGATACTTACATCAACTCAAACATATCCACTGCCATGAATGTTACTATTAGTTTTACAATAAACAGTAGCATGAAGTCAATAAATTCAGCAACAAGACGCTTGTGAAGAGGAGGTATAACATACTCATATCCACCATGACGGGCTATCACTGAAAGACAATAAACATAACTTGTATTGTTACCTTCATTATATCAAAATTTGTACAGAACTCATCAAGGCATTTTATTCTTAAGTTTAAGAGTAAAAGTGAAAAACAACAATTTTAAACGAATGCGAGTCTCTTCTCATTTAAGGAAACAAACAAAACATTGGGATACACATAAGTATATTATCATTATCATAATATAAGTATTACATTGTCATGGGCTTAACAATACATTAAAACAATAACATTAATCATACAAATAATTGCTACCTTCAGCAGGAGTTAGTGCCTCGGGCTGCGGCTGTGTTTCTGGAGCGTTCCGAGGCGCATTAGGAACTTGAAATGGCATTTGAAACTGATAGTTGTTATTCAACAGGGGAACATTCGTAGCATTATTTTGTAACCCTTGAAATGTCATCATATAGTAAGGAAAACAAGTGGACAAGTTCTGATACATTTGTGCCTGCTGAATCCATAATCGAAGGGCTTGAAAGTATGCTTCCCGTTCAGATACAGATGCAGCTGGTGGCGCATCGCCTTCTCCCCTTTCTGTGCCTTCAGATGGTCCAGGTTCATTCTGCACAAGTCTTTCTGACTCAGACATTTTGAATGTAGTCAAATTTATAAATTAAAGTACTAATTCATTAGTAAAAATACTATGCAAAGTACACGTCAGTTTGTTGATTTAATTTGTTTTGACATTATTGACTTTCATTGATCGGTCGCTCTGAGTTTTAGTTTCGGATACATTATTGTACTTAGAGTGGATAGTCGACTTGAAAATATCGATAAAAACATCTAATTATAATTATGCGGTACAACAGTAAAAATAATATTTTTAACATTCTTTATAGTGTAATTTACCATTTTTCAAGAGATTCTGCAGTTTAATAGCGATTATTTGATGTAATAAAAAAATCGAATAGTAGAATATTTTATCAAACTCTGGTAACATTTCTAAATGTCAGTCAGTCGTCCATCGTCGTTACAATTCGTTGACTTCGTTGTTAGCCGAATGGAATGGCCGAAATGAATGTCGACTCAGTACTGCGTGCGCAATAATGGTGATGTGAATTTGGGTGGTAAAGAATCTTAGAGTGAACATTCATGTTTGAAAGTTGTAGTTAATTTGACAGTATCAATTCCTGTGACGTTGTGCAATATAATTTCTTAGTGTTGTGTAGTTTTTATCGCAGAATAAACGTTGGTTTATCGCTAGAGTCAGCTGTGGACAATAAAGTAATTTACTGAATTTTAGTGGATATAACATGATGTGTTCCATGTCGGACTAGTGGTAAATAAAGAGAGGTCTACACATAATTAAACTGGACCGGTTTTATGTAAGTATTTACTATGAATCCAAAGATGTGTAACTTTGTTTCCTGTACCGTTTACTCCGGTTTATTTTTATATATTTTTTATAATTGTTTCCTGCCGGCCCAAAGCGGCCTACTGTGATGTTATCATTGATATTATTGTTGTCAGTTTTGGTATAATGCCATAATTTATTGCGTCACAGCTATATAAATCAACAGTAAGTTAAATTTATTATTTTATCTTGATAAGGTTATATAAATCAACAGTAAGTTAAATTTATTATTTTATCTTGATAAGGTTATCTGACAACGATTTGGCAGCCCATATTTTAGGTATTTGAGGACAGCTAGGTATTCAGTTAATAATCTAATAACTTTTTGTCATGTAATTCAAGTTAATATTTGTGTATCTTGTTTTAATATATTTGAACAACTTTAATACAATGATTTGGTGTGGAATTGGTTGTATTTGTAATAAAGTAATGGTATCATCACATCATTAATAGCAACAAGTATTGAGGCAGGAATCAATAGACATAGTTGAATTACTCCAAGAATATTTGAGTTAAAAATGTAAGAACCTTACTAAGACCATAGAAAAGGAAAGACCAATTGTTACAAATAAAATGCATCTATATTATTGTTTTGTTGAATCTTATAAAGATAATTAATAACCCTATTCAAACTTATTAGGGTTTTCTAAATTTCTTCAGGGACTGTTTGACAATGTGCAAACATTTCATATACCAAATGGATTAAAAATTATGTGGTGTTGATCAATCTAAAATATATGAACAATGAGTAACGGGCCCTTTATGTCCAAATAAATTTATTCTAGTGACCTGACTCCTCTCAGTCTTGATTAATTCTAATACAAGAATATAATTTTACTTAATACTTGCCTGACACTTGATATGGCATAAGTTTGACCCAGAATACTGTGCTTATCATTGGGCGGAGGCACCCCAGTACCAGCTTCTCCCTCTGGATCGCATTCAACGAAGACCTGTTCAAATGGTTGACTGCCCTGTTATCTCAGACCATTTGAATGGACTTGTTGGCACTGCATAGCTGCATAGAGATGTAGACTGGCCATGTGTTTTCTATCACATTACATTTTAGGGTAGTTAAGAATGAATTTAGACTGCAAATATTATCTAATTATAATTCATAAAACATTTATTTATTTCAGATTGAATTCTGTTCTATGTCTACCTATATATTTGATGAAACATTTTATAGTAAATATTGAAGCTGTACTTTACTCTGTATGCATATTTTTATGAATTATTTTGTTTGATATTGTCTTAATTCTTTGCAACATAAATATTTCCTGTAGACAAGCAACATGTAGATTTGATAATCTACATGCTGTTTGTGACATCACTATTCTGATTTAATAGATACCAGACCCACCATCAGTGTATCTGATTGTTTATGCCTTCTATTCTAAGAAAACCTTGCCTCATTGAAAGACGTTAATGAGTCTTCAAGCAGTTATATTCCATACACATGTACAATTGCTTGCCAAGTTTGTATATTGTAATGCTAGTGTAAAATTATTACCATTCTCATTGTCTTTGGTACATTTAAACAAATAATAAAATTATTGTTTATTTCACTGTTAACTAAAATATAAATTTTACTATCTTTATCATTAGCTGGAAGACATTACCTGCTGATTAATTGGCTATACTTTCAGTGGGCCATAATTATTGGGACTTGATAATCACTTCTATTTCTGCACCCCCCAAAGGTAGACTGGTAGAGGACATCTTAGGTGTTAAGGTACATTGTCGATTATGCTAAAAGTATAAATAAATGTGGCAGATGCTACCTTTCCCTTTGGGTACTTTCATCATTTATCTTTCAACCTTGTTTACACACTTATTATAATAAAAAGGGTCACTATTTGAGTCCATGTGTATGAAAGGGAATATAAGAGCAATTACTAGAAAGTTGGAGGTGTATAATTTGTTATAAAACAGCTATGTTAGCAGAGGGATGGAAAGCCAGTGTGTAATGTACTAAGATATAGGTACCTAATTACATCCAAGGACTTGTGAGCAAAGTGAATCGTGTGCGCGTTTATTTAAATATGTGCGTTGCTGTTATATTTTCCAGCCGTACAAAGAGTTGGCGCCAACAGTGGCGACTATTATAATTAAAATTTACATCGCATAGAACACGACTGCATTACGCTCGTCACCGCTCAACGCCTTTCATGCTTCGTTGTGTAGTTATTGTATAAAAATAAAATATAAATTGGTACCTACCTCACCTACCTGGATAAATTAGTTACCTCAGTTTTTTACTATTTCAATATTTTTGGCACGACACGAAAATCGTAAAAGTAAAGTGTGCAATTTTTACGCCAGGAAAAAGTACTATTGTATGTTGTAGACAATAGGCACCAGGCATGTATTTCGATTTTTATTTTCTGGCCAAAAATTCGAATCTTGTAAAAAATGCATAATTAGCATATTGAGACTAAAGAGTTGGTTTTTCAAAATTGCATTTCACATTGCGATGTGATTGTACAAACATTTCGGTAGGTTGGCAGTGAATGTTAATTGACGTTACCGAGGTTAGCACAATGTTTTAAGCCCTTCGTTAACTAGTCGTGATTTTCCCGGAGCGCTCGAGCTTTCATCTTGTTTGGGTCCTCGTCAACGTAATCCTATAAAAGAGGTGCTAAAATCCCTTTTCCACAGCAGATTGTAACGCAATTGAACGCGTTTTATGGAGACTAGAAGAAATGTCCTTGATTCCAACTACGTTAGCTTTTGTCATCAGTTGACTGACCTTGGGGGTTCATTAGATACAATTGCGTTCAACCAGTTATTACATTTTCAGTACCATTTTGCAAGCAATCACTAATATAGTAGTGTCTAGTCCTTTCATTGTCGTCCAGCGTAATTTGCAATGTTATCCGATAAGGAAAGTATAAAAGTATTAGATCAAGCTTACCTACTTGTTTTCTTTGACGGTGCTCCAAATTAGATTTCTAGTAAGACCACATAAAATATTCCACATTAAATATTTGCTTCACTTATTTTAACGAGCATAGAAAGCTATATTGATATAACATGGTCGTCACAAAGCCTTAAAGCTAATGTGATAAAAATTTGTATTACTTTATTATGCAATGGATTGGTAACAAGTGGGTTAGTTAACGTCCTCGCCCGTGTAATTGGATCATGATCTAGCAGACCAGTGTAATTGTCCTTTCTGCTTTGATCTTTACATAATTTTCGTCCTCAAAGACCAGATGATTGTGTTCAAATTAGTCCATTATGTAGAAAGCGCACATTATGCGAAAAAAGGATGAACTAGTTCATTTGAGATACATGGTATTGTGAAGTTACAAAATGCTGAGATTTTTCTCTTCTATTAGTTAATGAAACGGAAAAGATAGTCGTCATGTAGAGGCACCATTAAAGCTCCACCTAAAGTCATGAATCAATGTGGTCAGCTCAGCCGCCTATCTGATCTATGAGTCACAGGTCCTGTTTGGTTTTCGTGCGAGATTTCATCGTTAAGTGATTAGTCACAGCCGAGTGGGCACTTCACACAAGCCTAGGAATGTGTTGAAAATAGATAAAATAATAAATTGACTACCAGTAACATACAGAAACTTTTATATCTGACCAGCCTTGACCAGTCATGAACCAACTCAACGTTCATGCGTGGTGTAACAATAAAAATACTCTATAGTTTCACAACCCGAGCATTAACTTAAAGAGCAGTTGAATGCAGTTTGAAGAAGTCAAGTATTTAAAGTATTCAGTCGGGTACTGCGTCATCTTATATCGTATCGGTCATTCCCACGGGCGACTCAAACCAATTTATCCCTTCGCTCCAAGGATTAAGGACGTGATTGGTTTGTGATTGTTTTACGCGCCGTTCTCCATACCCCCACATCGAAGGCGCGGGCGGCAGCCACAATAATTTGTTCCGCTTTATTTGCCAACGTACAACGATCACCATTACAGTTACGGCATTATTTTCTAAATAAAAGTAGCACGGTTCTAACTTCACAACCTAGATAAGTTGGGATTGATCAGTTTAAAACGATAGCAAAGGTTGTGTTGAATGCTTTGTACGTAATGTGGCCTGAGTAGTATTGTGTCTCCTTCAATTGTAGCATGTTATTGTTACATAAAAATATTCAGGTGACCTGTTAAACGTGCGCTTCCTATATTTTTTTGTTTACCACCTGGCGCCAGTCGGTCGACGTTGTTACGCATACCGTTTGTCGATAGTACCGACAAACCGACATACGAGACGTAGCAGTCTGCTGGGGCAGATGCTTATCTAGTGTCTCCTATTGTTCCTGTGCCGGGTAGCTGAGGTGTTTGTGTGAAGGATTATGCGCCTAGACAAGACACCAAATATCGCAATCCATAATAACAACAAACACGTTACTTCTAAAACTTGACGATAAATAAAAATCTTGACGTGGTCTGTAGTAAGTAGAGTTAGTTAGTATTAATTTGTATAAATAGTTAACATGTCTGGACTCATTGTTACATGTAATTAGCGTGTAATTTATGTTCAGTTGAACAATACAGTCCGGAGATGCTAGATTCCATGATAATAATGTTCTGAAGCAAAGTACCTTTGTACAATGACGCAGATTGTAGCATACTGAATTGAGAATGACATAATAATAGTAGTAACCTTAGTAACCTTAGGGCGAGCTATATGTATAAATGCAAATAATCAAATGCTGATAAGTTCCTTAGAATATTCTCGAATTTATTTAAAAGTAAAAAAAAGAAACTGTCAACAGACATGTTTTTGCCGTGTGGATTATACGTAGCAACCATTCATAATCATCTTGGTTTAGCTGAAAACTTCAAGGGAATGACGTCAGAAAAGGTCTATATTTCCTTAAACGCCTTGTTTATTACTTACGTCCAAAGAATACTTAATAAGTTGGCTATGGAGTAGTAGAACTGATGTAGTGTGGTATATGAATGCTTTGAATAGCCGACAATTGGTCCC